ATGTTCAGGGAATGGAAGGACACTAGTGTGACTAAAATAGAGTAAGCAGGAGCAAAAGTCATAGGGGCTGAGGTCACGTGCAAAGCTACAGGAATGTTCACAGAAGCATTATTAACATAGCCCCAACCTGGAAACAACTTGTAACTGCAGGCCCACTAGGACCAGTTCGAACTTACCCCATCTTATCAACAGAGTAATTGAGAGCTGTTTTTCAGGAACTAAGAGTCAACACCTTGTCGAATTAAGGCTGGTTAAGGCCACCAACCCATCAACTGGGCCTGCATGAATGCCCAATAAGTGACCCTTTTGACGTCAGGTGGCCAAAAGTCCACCTTCAGATCATGCTAACGCCACCATTTTGTGAACATGTGTCCTATGAAGAGCCAGGAAGCTCGACTACGCTCGTGCAGATCGTTGATCACCTCACTTCTCCTCACCTCCAATCAATCCATCTCCACCCTGCCCTTCAGCCCATAAATTTTGCCCCAAGCCTCGGATTGGGGAGACAGATCTGAGAGCTTTGCCTCCTGTCTCCTTGCTGGTCGACCTCACAATAAAGCCATTTCTTTTCTCAAAAGCCAGTGGCATAATAATTGGCTTTTTTTTTAATGAGCATTGGGCAGAGAAACCCTTTTGTGTTACCACACAAACTCAGATATCCACCAATAGTGGAATGGATAAATTACAATACATTTATAGAATGGAATTGCACATAAAAATGGAAAAGAAACAAGACTATAGGTTCCCTCAATAGTATGGATGAATCTCACAAACACAATGTTAGGTGAGAGGCCAAGTGCTAAAGAATAAAAACTAAGGATCTATTTACATAAAATTTACAAACAAGGCAAAACTAATCCACGCACTGAGAAGACGGATCATCATCACCTTTGAGGAGGACAGACATACTTGTTATCGGAAAGGGGGTCAAGCGGTCTTCTGGGAGGGCTGAGTGGAGGCAGCACGTGGTGTTCGCTTTGTGTAATTCGCTTAGCGTTTGTGCACCTTTCTATACATATGTTACACATCACCTTTTAAAAAGAAAAAATATACAAGAGTGAACGGAAGAATCTGGGATGACAAGTACAGAGAATTCTTTCGAGAAATTCTACCATAACGAGAGTTGAGAAATGGGACAACAGCAAGAGGGTTATTTCAAAGATGGGAGAAATCACTGTTTCAGAAACTCCACTTACTCATATTTGCTATGAATGAGAAACACCTGTCCTATTACTTATTTAATAGGTTTTCTTTAAATTGACTCATTTTAAACTTATTTGTAAAGCAAATTTCATATTAACACTGTATCATTTGCCATAATAGAGGTAACTGTAAAAATATAATGAAAACAAGTCATTCAATTAAAATAATTTAAAAATGTAAAAGCAATTAAATGTAAATAAAAATCAATCTGATGGAACTACAAAAATGAACACCTAAAAATAAATTCCTCAGTTGGAAAACTAGAGCTGTTAATGATCGGTCAGAGAAAAAGAGTGTTGTGTTCCATGCCTATGTAACATTCCCCACCACTGCTCACTTCTCCATCATCACCTTCACCTTTATACTTTAAGCATCCTGTTTTTTTTTTTTTTAATTATGAATGAATTTTTTATTTTTTATTAATGTTATGATAGATTACAACCTTGTGAGATTTCAGTTGTATATTTTTGTTAGTCATGTTGTGGGTACACCACTTCCCCCTTTGTGCCCTCCCCCCACCCCCCCTTTTCCCTGGTAACCACCGATCAGATCTCCTTATCAATATACTAACTTCCACCTATGAGTGGAGTCATATAGAGTTCGTCTTTCTCTGACTGGCTTATTTCGCTTAACATAATACCCTCGAGGTCCATCCACATTGTTGTGAATGGGCCAATTTTGTCTTTTTTTATGGCTGAGTAGTATTCCATTGTGTATATATACCACATCTTCTTTATCCAATCATCAGTTTCTGGGCATGTAGGTTGGTTCCACGTCTTGGCTATTGTAAATAATGCTGCGATGAACATAGGGGTGCAACGGACTCTTGAGATTTCTGATTTCAGGTTCTTAGGATAGATACCCAGTAATGGGATAGCTGGGTCATAGGGTATTTCTATTTTTAACTTTTTGAGAAATCTCCATACTGTTTTCCATAGTGGCTGTACCAGTTTGCATTCCCACCAACAGTGTATGAGGGTTCCTTTTTCTCCACAACCTCTCCAACATTTGTCACTCTTGGTTTTGGATGTTTTTGCCAATCTAACGGGTGTAAGGTGATATCTTAGTGTAGTTTTGATTTGCATTTCCCTGATAATTAGCGATGATGAACATCTTTTCATGTGTCTATTGGCCATATTCATATCTTCTTTTGAGAAATGTCTGTTCATGTCCTCTGCCCATTTTTTGATCGGGTTGTTTGTTTTTTTGTTGTTAAGCAGTGTGAGTTCTTTGTATATTATGGAGATTAACCCTTTGTCGGATAAGTGGCTTGTAAATATTTTTTCCCAATTAGTGAGCTGTTTTTTTGTTTCAATCCTGTTTTCCCTTGCCTAAGCACCCTGTTTTTAACACTCATTCACATTGAGTTCAACATAGGAACAAAATGAAAACAGTCCCTACAACTCTGTGACAAACGGATGGTGACTTGCCCAGCACTTGAGGTCGTCCCCAGTCCCGTACCTCCCTGGCTGGGAGGGAGGTTGGTCTCTGAGAGAAGCCCTCCCATGCTGCCCACTGGAAAGAACCCCCACTCCCATGTCTCTTCTTGGAAAGTGCTGGTGTGCGTATACGTGTGTGGGGGAGCGAGGATGCTGCTTGGCTGTGGCTGTAGCAACCTTGCCTGAAACCAGGCAAAGGTCAGAGGGCATCCCAGAGGGGCCCCTAAGGATCAGAGTCCTAGGACATCAAATCTTCTTCCTGTTCCAGGTTTTAGAAAACACTGCTCCAAAACAAAGGAGGCAATACCTTCGAAATTAAAAATCAGGGTGCATGGTCTTTCAACAAAATGGAATACTGAAAAATCAGAGGTGCCCAGAAAATCCAGAACGCATAGTGCCAAACCTAGGACATTCATTTACTAGTCCACAACTTCAGACATTTTTTATCAACATTAGTGCTAGACACCAGAATATGAAAATTAGCAGACATAATCCCTGCCCTCAAGGTAAGGCTTCCAGATTTCAGATAAACATGCAATTTTCTGAGGATATGTCCCAAGTGTTGCATTAGACATACTTATACGAAAAATGTATCTGCTGTTTACCTAAAATTCAAATTTAACCGGCCTGTATTATTATTTGCTAAATCTGAGGAACAAAGTCAGCTAAAATAGAGTAGAGAAGTGTCAGGGCAAAGGGGTTGTCACGGGGTGTTTGGCTGCACGTCGGGGAAAACTTCAGAGAGCTGGTAACACAGTGGCGGAATCTTAAGCTGAGAATTTATGGGTTGTACCACTCATCTCAGAGTTTAATAACGCACCATCATGATCTGCTAACTTTTTATGAATACGTGTTTTGTCTGCAGAACTAGATCCAAGTTGCGTGAAGATGGACCATTTCTTCGCGTTTCCGACACCAACTAGTATGGACAGGCATGCCTAAGGGATGAAGCAAATTACTGCTTGAATGGACTCAAATGGGTTTATGCTCCCAAAGAATAAAAATAAATCTTAATTGGTGTTTTCTTTTTTAGTTTTAGTCTTCAAACACTATAGCTGAGAAGCCAGGCTGGAATCTTGGTAGTCAAATTAGTAGTAAAGATCTGGGCTGTTTGTAATGCAGCAACCTCCTATGGTAGTTTCATGATGGATTCAGTGTGGCTGGAATGGGCATCTTTTTTATGTTTGGGTTCCTTCCTAAGCCCCCCAGCTGAGGCATCTTCTTGGTTGGATCTAACATATTGAAGCAGTTAATACAATTGGTAGTCCAATGACCATAACAACACTTCTCTACAAATACATCCTGCCCACATTTAAGTTCCTCTTTAACCTACTGCAGTTTGGAACTGTCCGCCACCTACCCCTACAGTTGGTTCCAAAACGGTACAGGGTAACGTCTATCATGGCTGTTGGAAGAGCGAGGAAGATAACTTTTCTGACATCCTCTCCTAGCCTCAGCTCTAAAGCCCAGGACTGGGTATTGAGTATAATGATGCAGAGGAAATATTCCTGTTGTTCAGCTGGCATGAGAAGCCCATCTTTAAGGAGGGTTTTGCTGAGCAGGGACTGGACCACTCATTCTAGTGGCTCCTTATGGTGGGAGGTGAGGTAGGGGTGGGCCCGTGGGGAAGGTGCTGAGAGAGAGGAGGGGATGCTGGTGAGACGGCAGAACATGAAGCAGTGTTCATTGTAACTGCTTCTGAGACCCATCAAATCTTCTGTCACATGGCTCAACACGTGATATGCTTGGTGTGAACACATCCAAGGATTTTAGGGAAAACCCTGAAGGGATTGGGCCTTGTGTCCAGCTGGCAAGTTTTAACTTAAGGGTAAAGACAGAAGCAGGATCCATGAGAAAGTACGATATTGAGAATTATAAAACTTATTTAATGTAGTCATTTAAAGCTGACAACAGGTGATCCAGTTAGAGAATGGCAGACCTATGACACTGCACTTACCCTAAGAGTGTAAAGGTACACTCCTACACAATGAAATTAATGAACATGGAAGTTCCTTCCTTTTAAGGCTGAAAGGTATTCCACTGTATGTATATATCACATGTTCATCATCCATCCTGTGATGGACATCTGGGTTGTTTCCACATCTGGCCATTGTGAATAGTGCTGCAGGGAACATGGGAGTGCTAGTGTCTTCAAGAGCAACACGCAACAACATGGATGAATCTTGAGGACATTATGCAGTCAAATAAGCCAGTCACAGAAAAACCAATATTGCATGATTCCACTTAAACGAGCTGTCCAAAAGAGTCAAATTCATAGAAGCAAAGAGTAGAATGATGATTGCCAGTGGCTGGGGAGGGGCGAAACAAGAAGTTACTAACCAATGGGCAATTATCAAACAAGAGGCATAAAGTTTCAATTAGTAAGACGAATAAGTTTTAGAGATCTGCTGTACAACACTAGTCAATAATACTGTGTTGTACACTTTAAAAATTAAGAGGGTAGATCTCACTTAAGAATTCTTAAAAGAGAGTAATCAATATGGAGATAGTGAGGTGTTCCCTGTATCACAATTCACTCCTTGTTATCCATGGGCAACTCTTATGTTTACCAGGACCTCTCTACTTCTTGAAGGGTTAAGTAAACTGAGTAACTGATAAATCACCCCCTCAGTTTCCTTATCTGAGAAATGGGAACTTACCAGGGCCTCCTCCTAAGATGTGGTGATAGTTAATGTCAAGCCCTTAGACTAATGTCTGTCATATGGTTGACTATAGAAAACAAGTAAGTTCTTATAGTCAATAAAAAATGAACTGGGGAGTTCTTATTCAAAGGGTATAAGGTTTCAGTTATGCTAGATGAATAAGTTCTATCTGGTGTACAACACAGTGACTAAAGTTAACAATATGGTATTGAGCACTTCAAAATTTAAGAGGGTAGATCTCGCGTTAAGTGATACAAAAGGATACAAGGAAACTCTGGGAGGTATCTGACATGTCTATTACCTTTCACAATCAAGGTGATGGTATCAGAAGTGTTTGCGTATGTTCAAACTCATCAAATTATACACATTCAATATGTGCAATTCTTTGCATATGAATTATACCTCAATAAAGCTGATATATATATATGTGTATATATATGTATATATATATATTACAAGAATTGGGGAGGAAGCAGCCCTGGTCTCATTGAGCACATTCCCCAAAGTGGCACTTTTTCAACAATTTTTAAGGTAATATGTTGGCGTGAGAGATATTAGACGGACCATGAAAAGACTAAGACGCGTAAGAGAAACATATAGAGAAGGTAGTCAAACAGGGAGCATTTTAAAAAATCCACCCACTTCTTTCCCTTCAGCCCCTTGAACTGAGTCTGAGTTATCACTCCTGCCCATCTCTGGGCCCAGAACATACTTCCCGTCTGGTCTAAGGAGGGCTCTTCCCCAACCTTTTAGCACAAAACGCCTAGGCGGACAGCAACCATGTCTAGAGCGTTATGAGAGAGAAGCCTGGCCCCGAAGGGCCAATAAGGTCCAAATGTCTAAAATCTGTGCGCCATCAGGCTCATTTTCCTGATAGGCTATGAAGTTTCCCCCGTCTTATGTCAAAGGTCAACAAAGCTGGATCCTAGGTAAAGTGGTCAGGACGGGTTTTAACCAGGAATACTATTGCGATAGTGAAGAGTCCAGTGTGAAGTGAACTCAAATCCGATTTGTACACAGGGAACTGGGGGTTTAAAGAGAGAAAGAGGGGCCGGGAGGGGTCACCGGGGCTCAGCAGTCAGGGGAGTGAACCCTTGCACACGGCGGGGAGGGGGAGTTAGCCGACCGACCTGGTGTCGCTAACCCCAGCTCAGCCAGGCGAGGCTCTGCAGACGCGGGGGCAGAGACCCGGTCTCCAGGCGTCCGCGGGGACAGTGATTCTTTCAGCAGCCTGAGCCTCCTCGGGCAGGCCCTCTGCGGAGCTAGGACCGTCCTAGGGATGTGGCCTTGAGCTCTTCCACACCACGCTAGTGTTCTGTTCGTCTTCATAGGCCTAGTTGAGAGGAGAGCTGGGGAGGCGGCTCCACTTCGGTGGAGGAGAGAATGTGCGTCACTCATCAGTTACATTACTTACTAAGCGCCCCCCTCTCCTTCCCAAAGTCCACAGTCTGCAATACCCCAAAGAATACTATAACTCAAGCTGCACCTCCCGTTTCCCTGGAGCCCACCGCGCAGCTGTCTGAAGACCCGCGTGTAGAGGAGCACAACGCGACCACTAAGGGCTAACTGCAGCAGGGATCCTTCCCGATGTTGTCGGCCCTCAGCGCAGACGCGCGGCGGCGCTCTTTAACCTTCCCCAGAGGGAACTGCGACGGCAGCCAGGTGGAACTACAACTCCCAGCAGCCCCGGCGACAGCGAAGGCTCCCACGTCCTGGGCGCCGCTCCCCGTTGGCGAGCAGCGCCAGCTCCGCTCACCCCTTCAAGAGGCCGCACGGGGTTCCGACGGCCAGCGGCGGCCACAGTCGCAGGACCCTGGGCCTCTGTCGCTACCGGCCAGGCAGATGCTCCGGACAAGGAAGCGTGAGGCCGCGGGAAGCGGCGCCGGCGTGACGGAAGTGCGCTTACGTCACTTCCGCTGGGCGGGCCGCTGGTTATCCCGCGCAAATTGAAAGGTCCGGCCCTTGGTGCGCGGCTGCAGCCCGGCTTGTTCCGCGCCGGCCGCCTCGCGTGCTTCGGCCAGGTGAGCGGTGCGTGGGGGGCGGGTTTGGGAGCCTCCACCCGGGCGCTCGAGAGCCCTTGCGGGGAAGCGAGCGCGGTGGGCTCCCTGCTGGTCCCCCGCGTTGGGCCCGGGCAGCGGGGGTCTCCCGGGCAGGGCGGCCGAGGCTCGCCGGGTGCCCGCCCTGCAGCGGGTCCTGGGAGCGCGCCGGCGGCCGGGCTGCCGTTCGGTGACCCGAGGGGTTCTGCCCACTGCAGGCGCGGCCCCCCAGCGTTCGGGCCGCAGCGGGCCGTGCGGGGCTGCCGTGCAGCGTCCCGGCCGTGACCTGTTGACCGGCGCGTGCTTTTCTTCTGTCGTGCAGGCCGACGGACGGCGTCTTCTGGGATGGGCTCGCGGGCGTCTCCTGCGCCTCCCCGCGAGCCGCGGGACCGGGACCTCGGCTGCGGCGGGCGGGCTCCTTGAGGTGACATGTGCGCGGTGGCCCGCAGTCCGACCTGCCGTGCTGAAGGGAAGGATTTATTCGAGGCTGTTTCCCTGGCAAGTCTCGTGAAACGTGTACTATGTCAGTTTTCCTCCGAGTGGAAGAAAACTCCTTTTAGGGACGTTATCTGAGAGCTCGGAGGCTGATTGCTTTTCCCAGGCTGCGGCTGGGGGACCACCTGCACCCAGATCACCTGCGCAGGGTAAAATTCAGAGCCCGCCTCCCTCCGGACGAGAGCGCCGCCGTCGCGGGAGTGGAGCTGAGCGTCCGCGCGCCTCTGAGACCTGCGAGTGCGGCCCGCGCGGAGCGGCGACGGCGACAGTGCCAGCGCGGTGAGGCCGGCCTCCCATCCGCTGCGGCTTCCCTTCTCCCAGGCTCAGCGCTGGGCGGCAGAGGCTGATGCTGTGGATCGCTGAGCAGCTGCTCCGTGCCCACTGCTGTCTTTTACTTTTTATGGTGGGAAGTGATGGGGGCTGGGAACAGTTGCTTCGGAAGGGACCGTGGCAGCCCCCCAGTTTCTGTATGGAAAGGGCTTAGGGGCCGCACGCCCGCCGGAAGGGGACGGGAAGTTAAAGCACTTGTCCTGAAGCCCTGTTTGCACACCAATCACAGTCCTTTGAGGCAGCTTTCAGAGCCTGGTGGGGTTGCCCCTAGGGGCCTCCACTGCCTGGTAGCAGAATGCTCGTGGCGTGGAATAACGCGTTCTGTGGCAGTGAATTTCAGTCCTAGGAAAGTACATGTCTAGTGCTGTAGTTCTAAGTTTTCTATTGGAATGCCTCCCTTCCCACAACCTGTTCGGGCTTCCTCTCCTATGCTAATTTGCGTGTTGGCCGTGATAACGCCTGTTTAGATGCCATGTCATGCACAATTTTGTAGACGTTAACAAAGCCTTTTTGGAGAAAAGAGAAACGCGTACTTTTTTTTAGCACCTTCTGTGTCGCTAGTACTGTGTTAAGGGCTTGGAGCACACTATGATTCCAAGTGGGAAAGCACTTTGGAAAGAATAAACCTTAGGGAACTATCAGGTGGCATTAGAGATAGTAGTAGTGATCAGTGTAAATATTCTAGACTACAGAAATTGTTAGGGAGGAGCTCAGTTACAATTTTAAAGAGCAGTGATTCCCCAATATCTAAACAATAACAGTTGCTATAGCAGTTTCCAAGCTCTTTGTCTTTATTTTTCTGACTTCCGGGTAAATGTATTTTGCTTTAAATGTTGCCATTTTCCCTTTCTCCTTTCCCAGCACTAGTTAACTTGGCACCATGGGGATACACGGATTACTGGGGTTCATCAAAGACGCTTCTGAACCCACCCACGTGAGGAAGTATAAGGGGCAGGTCGTAGCTGTGGATACATACTGCTGGCTTCACAAAGGAGCCATTGCTTGTGCTGAAAAACTGGCCAAAGGTGAACCTACCGATAAGTAAGTTTGGACCTTATATTGGTTCCTTGCCGATTAAAAATGAGCCTTATCATGCCTTTTTTCCAGAAAGGGATCATTTTCATTCAATGCCAGGTTTATCGAGAAGTGAGTGTGTGTGTTTTGGAACATTGCCAAATCAGGGGTGACTTCTTCTATGACGTAGACCTAGTTTTCATTCTTTGTAATAAGCCAGAATACCTGAACACCAGTGGACAAAGACCAAAGACCGTCTCCTTTATTCTTTATCTGAGATAAACTCTTTAACAAAGTTCTGAACACCATGGTGGCTTCAGTGTCCTTCCTTCTTGGGTGCAGACAACACACTGCTAAGCCCCGTTAGCAAAACGAAGCAGTTGCCTGAAAGGGACGGGACATTCTGGCTCCCTTCTACTTGACTTGGGGCCACAGTGGTGGGACCTGTTGACCTCCGGTCATAACTCTGTGACTTCATTTGAGGAAGATTCCTGTAATATTCTCTTTTTTAAAATAGAAACGTTAGAGAAATAAGCAAGTATAATTTCAGGACAGAGATTTTCCAGAGGGATTTGGTCACTGTTATGTGCTTCCTTTTTTGCAATATATAGTGTATCTCTTAGAGGAAAGGCACTCAGATCTCAATATGACTGACTTAAGCACAGTAGACAGTAGGTGAAATGTGCTAATCCTGTTTGTTTCCTAGAAGAAAGGGGGCAAAATCCTTACTGAGTAGTGAGTGTCGTGGTCTCAGGCCTGTCTTGTTAATTCGACGGGGAGTGCCCTGTGACAGCGTGTGTGGGATCTGAGGCAGCCTGGGCACCTGTCCCACCATCTTCTGAGGTCATGTTTCGAAAGCAGCTTCTTTTCCACCAGTAGATTTGGACAGTTACAATTGTAGATGAAGACTACAAGTTTTTCATTGCTACTTTCAGTGTTTCTTTGAATATTTCTTCATGGGGGGAGAACTTTATCTCTAGTGTTTTATAATTCTTGAGGATTCTGAGATTTTTGACTAATTGAAAGAGTTGTCCAAAATACAGGGACCGTCCTTTATTGTTAGAAATGTCGCAGGTGAACTCCACAGGACCTGCCTGCCATGTAGGAGGCGCTCCATAAATGTTTCTTGAACTACAAAGTTTCAGGACTTTCAATAATGTAATGTGTATTTTAATTTTTTTTCCCCCATAGCAACTAAAAAGTCACATTTGATAAGAGTGTATTTTCTTCTTCTTGTCCACCTTTGGATGGGTATTAACAGAAAAGCTCAGCGAGGTTAGATGAGCCCACAATAAACATTTATGACCATTGTAAAGAATGAGGTAGATCTATGCGTGCTGACCCTGACAGATGTCTGTGAAATATATAAAATGAGGATGTCAGGTGTCTGATGTTTGTATTCTGTCTAGTTAAAAAAAAATTTTCCAGGGCCGGCCCCGTGGCCGAGTGGTTAAGTTCATACACTCCACTTCGGCAGCCCAGGGTTTCGCCGGTTCAGATCCTGGGCGCGGATATGGCACCACTCATCAGGCCATGCTCAGGCGGCCTCCCACATGCCACAACTAGAAGGGCCCACAACTAAAATATACAACTATGTACTGGGGGGATTTGGGAACAAAAAAAAAATTTCCCTTGAAAATTTATCATTTTATATTTGCTTTCCCCTGTTTTCACTTGGTATTTAATCAGTGGGTTCCAATCATTGTTCTGTGGATCAGTGCAGGTCCAGTGTCACTGGTTTATAATAAAAAGAAAAGGGACCACGTAGTGAGTCTTTCATTAAGATGAATATATTTGATTTAAAAGATTATTTTAGGATTATATCTTTCTATTCCTGTTTTTGAGTTAAGATATCCTTTTCTTTATGAAATGATGGAAGTTGTAAACCTAACTATTTTTGTTAATTGCCTTGCCAGAATAAAAAACTAAGTGCAGTCCATGATCCTTGTTTGGATCCTGGACGGGGGAAGAAATTGTAGCACTGCTCAGCTGGAGCCAACTCATGGGAGCTTGCTACACCATCTCCCCCAATGCAGCATTCAGAGACCCTACATTGGTAGTTTATCCACAATTACAGGATATTCACATGTCAGAGAAGTTGACAAATGCTACAAATTAGGCACCTCTTCCCCAGAACTGGTTGTTAAACATTTACCAGGACACCATTGCTTATAAGAAACATTATTGGGATAATTGGACACATTTTAATATAGACTATGTATCAGATGATATTGCTGTTAAAGTTCTTGGATGTGATAATGGTGTTGTTGGGGGAATCAGGTAATAATTATACTATACTCTGAACTTTTTTATAGATTTGAAGTTTTTCAAAGAAAAACAAAAATGGGGGAGAGAGGTGAGGTTTGGAACCACAAAATGTTGAGCTGGAGGGGATGTCAAAGCCTTTTAATGTGTGGATAGAGGATCAAGTCCCTCATCAGATATCACATAGACTAATAGGATCCAAGGCAGGACTGGAACCCAAGTCTAAATTAGAGTTTTCATTTCCATGAAAACATTTGCTTAAAAAAACAAAATAAAAACCTTCTCCTTTTGTAATCATTTCATCTAGTTTTAAAAAGAGCGAAAGTATTATCTTGTAAGATACAAAGCACTTAACTGCGTTTTTCTTTATTTTCATAGGTATGTAGGATTTTGTATGAAATTTGTACATATGTTACTATCTCATGGGGTCAAGCCTATTCTCGTATTTGACGGATGCACTTTACCTTCTAAAAAGGAGGTGGAGAAGTCTAGAAGAGAGTAAGTTGACTCTCTATTTAATCTCTAACTTAACTGCGTTGAGGTCTGATGCTGTGGTCTGTGTGATACCAATTTTTTTAGTTTTAATTTGTTGAGTCTTGTTTTATAGCCTGGTATGCAAATAAATTTCCTTAAATGTTCCATGTGTGCCATAGAAAGGAATGTGTATTTTCCAATGATTGAGTGGTTTTATGTCTGTGCAGTAAATCAAGCTTATTGATTGTGGTATTCAAATCTTCTGTATTCTTAGTGGTTTTTTGATTTTTTGTTTTATGTATATCTACTTAATCCATCAATTACTGAGAAAAGTGTGTTAAGTTTTCCCTGTGATAGTGTGTCAGTTACCTCCTAATTCTGTCCTTTTTTTGCTTTATTTTGAAGCTATTTCATTGGTTGCATTCAAGTTAGAATCTGTTATATTTTTGTGGTAAATTGAAACAATGTGTAGTGACTCTTTTAGTCTCTAGCTATGTTTTTTTGTCCTTAAGTCTGTTCTGTCTGATATTAGTATAGCCATAACAACTTTCTTTTGTATGTTTTCTATCTTTTATCTTTTTCTATCTGTTTACCTTCAGCTTTACTATGTCATTGGTTTTTAGGTTTGTCTTTTATAAAGAAGTCATCACTATGTTTTTTTATCCATTCTATCAGTCTTTGCCATTTTAAAAAATCTTTTAAAAGGAGAGTTTCATTCCTTTTACATTGATCATTAATTACTAATATATTTTGATCCATTATTTCTCTTACTTTATATTTTATTTTTGTTCTGCTCTCTTTCTTTTGGTTAACTCCTACCTTGTTTCACTTCTGAATTGATTGTTTTTTCCACCCTTATTATTTTGTTTCTAGTCGAAAAGTGATGCACTCTATTTCTGTTCTTTTGGTAGTTATACCAGAAATTTTATCATTCATATTTAACCTAACAGAATCTAGTAATTTTACAACAATGGACCTTAGAAAGAATTTCTCTATTTTTGTGTGTGTGTGAGGAAGATTGGCCCTGAGCTAACATCTGTGCGCATCTTCCTCTACTTTATGTGGGATGCCACAACAGGATGGCTAGACGAGCAGTGCTGGATCTGCACTCAGGATCCAAACCTGTGAACCGCAGGCTGTGGAAGCAGAACGTGAACTTAACCACTGTGCCCGCAGGCCGGCCCCTGAATTTCTCTGTTTTAATGAAGCAGCCGTTCCATCTCACTCATCTCTTCTTGTTTTTCCCCTGCATTAGCTTTTAGGTCCATGAGCCGTTGCGTTGTGTGGGGCACTTTGACAGCTAGGCTTAGTTGTCAGAGGTAGAAGACAGCCTCATAAGCTGAGGGAGCGTTTTGCGAGGGGCAACAGCCGCTTGCCTGCTGTTGCTCTCTCTGGGCCTAGAATCAGGCCAGACAGGGTCCTTCAGGTCTGGGTTCTTCAGTCTAGCTGTACCTAGAGGGCTCTGATTCTCAAAGTCAGAACTCTGTAAAGTTTATTAAAGGACTAACTGAGGCTGTCTGAACCCACATTCTAATACGAATAATATACGATTTACCAAACATACTTTTAATAAAAAGCCAATTCCAGGTTAGTTCTAGAAGGATTGGTGACAACCCTAAACCAGCGTGGCAAAGGGACTAGTCCAAACCATGTCCCGGTTCGGGGTCCCCCACCATGTTCTTAATTGTAGTCACAGATAGTTACTGATTTTCTCTTGTTAATCTCAAGACTGGCTAACCCAGGTTTCAGCCGTCTGTCTCTGTCCTGAGGGCTCTTTCTGTCTTACCTCTGTAGGTTCATTTGAAATCCTTTTCTGAAAGGCTCTTCATCTAAAAGTGGGACTAGGAAATTTGTGCATATACATGTATGCACATTTACTTAAAAAACTCATGAGTTCAGACTGATACTTCCACTTCAAATTCAGGACTACAGGGTTTTTACTTAACTCCTGCTGTATTGCATCTATATCTGCTTTCTTCTATAGTGAGAATCCTTGTTTTCCAAGGGTACAGGGCTTGGAAAAGTTAGAGCATCTTATAATTACTCATTTATTTTATCCCACATTATACTCACAATAGATTCAGAATAAAATAGTACCACTACCAATACCCTAGTGAAAACGGTTGAAATTTCCTTCTTTTGTATATGCACACACTCTCCCCATTTTAAAGTTAGTGGTACAACATTGTTAGAGCACGTAGCTATTGCTTTCTCCCTGGTTAATGCTTAGCCTGGATTCTGTAAGTTCCCATGTTTGATGGTTATTAGCTTGTCCTTATGTCAGTGTCTCTCTCTGGTGTCATTTTGCTTTCTCGGAAGTTTGCACTCTAGTAGATTCTCACAAACAGTTTTTCGCAAGCTCCTTGTATGTTGATGAAGTTGTACCCTTTATACTTGAAACTTAGCTTTGATGGTGTAAAAGCTTTGACTCACATTTTCTTAAGTGTCTTAGTTATTGCGCTTTCTGCTGACATAGGGCGTTGCTGTGGGAAAGTCTGATGATAAGCTTGCGTGTGTGTAGATTATAAACCACTTGTTCTTTTTGCCTAGAAGCCCAAGAGATCTGGGTTAGTATTCCGAGGACCTGCTATGTGCTTTCGAATGAGGCAGACTTTTTTTTATTCTAGGAAAATGTCTTGAATTATAGTTTTATTATAGTTTCTTGACTCAGCCTCTTAGTGTTTTTTTTTTTTTTTTTTCCTCTTGCAGAAGACGACAAGCCAATCTTCTTAAGGGAAAGCAGCTCCTTCGTGAGGGGAAAGTGTCAGAAGCCAGAGAATGTTTTACCCGCTCTGTCAATATCACGCACGCGATGGCCCACAGAGTAATTAAAGTAAGCCAGAGAGGAGGGAAAGCCAAGGCAGCCAATGGCCACGTTCATTTAAGCTCATCACAAGTTGTCCACACGGGAGAGCAAGAAAATGTGGGAAGAAAGTTGTTCTAGGCCTAACCTCCAGGAAGGGACAGGTGTCAGAGGAGAAAGGAGCAGTGTCTTTAATAGAGGAGAGGAGAGGAGACCAGTAGTGTTTAAGGGAGAAATCCTAAGGAAGAAGTGCAGCTCTCCTTTTCAGATGAGTCAGTTAGGTGGATAAACTCCATCACTTCGTACGCCGTGTTGCTCTGTAGAGATGGGAGGGATAAGCTCCTGCAGGGTCGGTCTCGCCCCACTCATGCAGCACTCAGCACCTACCGTGACCTTCACTCTGGAGTGACGTCCGAGGTCTGCTGAACCCGCCTCATCCGCTCAGGAACTCCGGACACTTCTAGCCTGCTTAACCTGCCTCTGCTTAAAGCTTCTTTCCTCATCATCTCAAGTCTTAGTTTCGCCATGCCCACAGTCCCAGCCCTCACTTCTGCTTTTCTAGGCCTGTGTTCAAACTGCGTGGTAAACATGGGAAAATAAATATAGAGATCAGATTCTGTAATTTTATCAATGCCAGGTCAGATAGACTTTTCTAGTCTGACAAGAGAACCTATTATTTTTATGGGAAAAATACTTTTGGAGCATCACTATTCTTAAGATGGAAGCTATCTGTAATTTGAAATAATTCAGGTTTGTAGCTTGTAGGGCTTTTGTTTCTCCTTCTGAATGTACAGCAATATTTCTTTTCTCCAAATTTATAAATTTATTTTTTTTTAAAGATTTTTTAGTGGCTATGTGATTAGTTCAATATATCCTAGGACTAAAAGCAGAAAAAGTTACTTCAAAGGAAATGATTTCCAAAAGTAATATGAGCGTGTGCATGTTTTGGTTGGTAATGAAAGGAGTTTGAAACAGGAAGCTGTTTAGGGCTTTGCAGATGCTGTTCTGGGATTGACTGCAACCCTCTCACACAGGCTGCTAGGTCTCAGGGAGTGGATTGTCTCGTGGCTCCATACGAAGCGGACGCACAGTTGGCCTATCTTAACAAAGCTGGTATTGTCCAAGCAATCATTACAGAGGACTCTGACCTACTCGCTTTTGGCTGTAAAAAGGTACTTAAATACAACTGCTACATACTGCTTTTCTATATGGATGGAAATAGTGTAAATCAAGGAGCTAAATAAAGCCTTTTCGTCTCCAAGGATAATTATTTTATTTAATGCCTGCAATTAATATCTACTTACAGTGTTAATAATTATTTTATTTAAAATGAAAAGAAGGGTTTTGCTGCTTGACGTTTGCGTAATCTGGACGCTTTTTCATAGTAAGCCCTTAAGGTTAAAGACTTTTGTTGTTTTGTCTAAGTTTGTTAGTAGAATGTAGTCTTATTGTTTAATAATGGTAACTTATATGCTTTATATTTTTCAATTAGGTAAATTAATTTATCTACTGATGGGATTATGCATAAAACTTTAATGAAAAATTTTTTCATGGTACATTCAGGGAAATTAAGATACAAAATCATAAGATGATCTCAGTTTTGTTAATACCCATGTTATTTATATTATCTTTATTTCATAGATGACTAGAAGAATCTGTGTGAAAAGGTTAATACTGGGTAACAGTGATAGATGGGAGATTTTGGGCAACTTCTGTTTTCTTCTGAGTTTCTGTTTTCTCCATATTTTCTACAATGAACATGTGTTACTTTAGGAATAAGGGAAAGGTTACTTTAGGAATAAGGGAAAGGTTACTTTAAAATGTGAAAGTAGAAGGTAAGGAGAAAATGCTTTCTTTTTTAGGGGGGTAGAGGAAGATTGTCCCTGAGCTAACGTCTGTGCCAGTCTTCCTCTGTTTTGTATGTGGGTTGCCTCTACAACGTGGCTGATGAGTGGAGTAGGTCTGTGCCTGGGATCCAAACCTGCAAACCTGGGCTGCTGAAGTGGAGCACACAGAACTTTAACCACTCAGCCACGGGGCCAGCTCCTGAAAATGCTTGTTGTATGAATTCCTATTTGGTTGCCATGACAACCCTGTAATATAAGTACAAAGTAAAGAGATGCAGAAAGGGTGTTTTTTGTACCAGAATCAGGACCGTTGAGCCCTGGCATATGACCTTGTCTAGTCATAGCCTCTGCTTCAGTTTAATTTATTTGCACATTTCACAATACTCAAGTGGTCTGCCTGTGTCTCCTCTCTATCAGTGTTATGATGAAGAACAAAAAAGATTTCTTAGAAATATTGCAGTGGATTAGATGAGGAAAAATAAAAGTGGTGCTAATAGGTGTAACAATTTTCCTTCCTTTTGAAGGTGATTTTAAAAATGGACCACTTTGGAAATGGACTGGAAATTGATCAGGCTCGGCTAGGAATGTGCAGACAGCTTGGCGATGTGTTCACAGAGGAGAAGTTCCGTTACATGTGCATCCTTTCAGGCTGCGACTACCTGTCTTCGCTGCGTGGGATTGGACTGGCAAAGGCCTGCAAAGTGCTGAAACTAGCCAATAACCCAGATATTGTGAAGGTGAGAGTGATTTTACCAAGTGTCATGTTCAGTTTATGAAGCATTGCTTAAATAATAGATAAACCACTCAGAATATGGATTTTAAATATTTTGTCAATAGCCTATATCGTGTCATTGAAAGGAAAAATGACTAAAGCATTCAGACTTTGTTTTTGGCAAGTGATGAACCATGTTTTAAGAAGTTGACAGAAAAGTAGTAGTAATTTTTTTTCTTACTGAAGTAAAATCGGTATAGAATATTATATAAGTTTCACTTGTACATTATAATTTAACATCTATATCACCACGAGAAGTCTAGTTACCATGCATTACCCTACAATTGACCCCTTTCACCCACCCCCCAACATCATTTTCCTCTAGTCATCCAATCTGTTCTCTCTGAGTTTGTTTTTGTTTTTTGTTCATTTATTCTGTTTTTCTTTCTTTCTTAGATTCCACAAAAGTGAAATCATATAGTATTTGTCTTTCACTGTCTGACTTATGTCATGTAGCATGATGTCCTCATTACGAGTAGCATGCCATTGTGTGTGTGTATATCTGGCACACCTTCTTTATCCATTCATCCTTCAGTGGACACTTTGATTGTTTCCATATCTTGGCTATTGTAAATAATGCTGCAGTGAACATAGGGGTGCATATATCCTTTTGAATTAGTGTTTTTGTATTCTTCAGATAAATACCCAGAATTAGAATAGCTGGATTGTATGATAGTTCTGTTCTTAATTTTTTGAGAAATCTCCATACTGTTTTCCATAGTGGCTGCTCCAATTTGCACTCCCAACAGCAGTGTATGAGAGTTCCCTTTTCTCCACATCTCCAACATCTCTTATTTCTTGTCTTTATTGATAATAGCCATTCTAACAGGTGTGAAATGATACCTCATTGTGGTTTTGATTTGCATTTTCTTAATAATTAGTGATGTTGAACATCTTTTCATGTGTCTGTTGGCCATCCATATGTTTTCTTTGAGAAAATGTCTGTTCAGATCCTCAGCCCACTTTTTAATCAGATCGCTTGTTCTTTTGTTGTTGGGTTGTATGAGTTCTTTATATTTCCTGGATATTAACCCCTTGTCAGGTATGATTTGCAAATATTTTCTCCCATTGAGTAGTTTGCCTTTTGGTTTTGATGATGATTTCCTTCTCTGTGCAAAAGCTTTTTAGTTTGATGTAGTCCCATTTGTTTATTTTTTTCTTTTGTTTCCCTTACCTTTGGAGTCTTATCCACAAAAACATCACTAAGACTGATGTCAAGGAGCTTACCCCCTGTTTACCGCTAGGAATTTTATGGTTTTAGGTCTTAACATTCAAGTCTTTAATCCAGTTTGAGTTTAATTTTTATGTGTAGTGTAAGATAGTGGTCCAGTTTCGCTCTTTTGCATGTGGCTGTCCAGTTTTCCCAACACCGTTTATTATAGAGACTATTCTTTCTCCATTGTATGTTCTTGGTTCTTTTGTTGTAAATTAGTCGTCCATATATGTGTGGGTTTATTTCTGAGGCCTTAATTCTGTCCCATTGACCTCCATGTCTGTTTTTGTGCCAATACCATACTGTTTTGATTGCTAGAGCTTTGTAGTATAGTTTGAAATCAGGGAGCGTGTTACCTTCAACTTCGTTCTTCTTTCTCATGATTGCTTTGACTATTCAGAATCTTTTGCAGTTCCATATAAATTTTAGAATTATTTGTTTTAGTTTGTAAAAAATGCCATTGGAATTTTGATGGGGATTGCATTGAATCTGTAGATTGCTTTGGGTAGTATGCACATTTTAACAATATTAATTATTCCAATCTGTCAGCACCATATATCTTTCCATTTATTTGTGTTGTCTTCACTTTCTTTCTTTAGTGTCTTATAATTTTCAACGTAGAGGTCTTTCACCTCCTTGGTTAAATTTATTCCTAGTGTTTTATTCTTTTCATTGCAATTGTAAATTGGATTGCTTTCTTAATTTCTCTTTCTGATAGTTCATTATTAATGTATAGAAAACGACACAGATTTCTGTATATTGATTTTGTATCCTGCAATTTTATTGGATTCATTAATTCTAACAGTTTCTTGTGGTGCCTTTAGGGTTTTCTCTATAGTATATCGTCTGCGAATAGTGACAGTTTTACTTCTTTTCCAATTTGGATGCCTTTTATTTCTTTTTCTTGCCTGATAGCTGTGGCTAGTTCTTTCAATATTGTGTAGAATAAAAGTGGCAAGAGTGGGCATCCTTGTTTTGCTCCTAATCTTAGAGGAAAAGCTTTCAGCTTTTCACCATTCAGTATGATACTAGCTGTGGGTTTGTCATATATGGCCTTTATTATGTTGAGGTACGTTCCCTCTGTACCCACTTTGTCGAGAGTTTTTATCATAAATGAATGTTGAATTTTGTCAAATACTTTATTTTGCATCTTTTGAGATGATCATATGATTTTTATCCTTCATTTTGTTAGTGTGGTGTTTCACATTGATTTGTGGTTGTTGAACCATTCTTGTATCCCTGGAATAAATCCCACTTGATCATGGTGTGTGATCCTTTTAATGTATTGTTGAATTCTGTTTGCTAACGTTTTGTTGAGGATTTTTCCGTCTGTGTTCCTCAGGGTTGTTGGCATGTAATTTTCTTTTTTTGTGGTTCCCTTGGCTGGTTTTGGTATCAGGGTAATGCTGGCGCTATAAAATGAGTTTGGAAGTGTTCCCTGCTCTTCAACTTTTTGTAAGAGCTTGAGAAGGATAGGTATTACATTTTCTTTAAATATTTGGTGGAATTCACCAGTGAAGCTTGCTGGTCCTGGACCTTTGTTTGTTAGGAGGTTTTTTTTTGGAAGGAAGATCAGCCCTGAGCTAACATCTGCCGCCAATCCTCCTCTTTTTGCTGAGGAAGACTGGCCCTGAGCTAACATCCATGCCCATCTTCCTCTACTTTATATGTGGGATGCCTACCACAGCATGGCTTGATGAACAGTGCATAAGTCCACACCCAGGATCCAAACCAGTGAACCCCAGGCCACTGAAGCAGAATGTGTGAACTTAACCACTGTGCCGCTGACCCGTCCCCTTGTTGGAAGGTTTTTGATTACTGATGCAGGGTCCTTACTGGTATTAGTGTATTCAGATCTTCTGTTTCTTCATAATTCAGTCTTGGAGGATTGTGTGTTCCTAGGAGTTTATCCATTTCTTGTAGGTAGTACAATTTGTTGGCATATAATTATTCGTAGTAGTCGCTTATGATCCTTTTATTTCTGTGATATCAGGTGTAACTTCTCCTCTTTCATTTCTGATTTTCTTGTTTATTGAATTTATTGACACTTGTTTTGTGGCCTAACATGTTCTATCCTAGAGACTCTTCCATGTGTTCATGAGAAGAATGTGTGTTCTGCTGCTTTTGGATGGAATGTTCTATATATGTCTGTTAATTCCATCTGGTCTAGTGTGTTGTTTAAGATTGATGTTTCCCTATTGATTTTCCTTCCGGATGATCTATCACTGTAAGCTCAGTGTTGAAGTCCCCTACTGTTATTGTATTGCTTCCAATTTCTTCCTCTAGGTTCCTTAATATTTACTTTATATATTTTGGTACTTCTATATTGGGTGAACATATGTTTTTAAGTATTATATCTTCTTGCTGAATTGACCCCTTTATCATTCTTTAATGCCCTTCTTTGTCTTTTATTAGAGTAGTTGTTTTAAAATCTATTTTGTCTGATATAAGTATAGCTACTCCACCTTTCTTTTGGTTGCCATTTTCATAGAATATCTTTCTCCATCTCTTCATTTTCATTGTGTGTGTCCCTACTTCTGAAGTGAGTCTCTTCCAGCAAGGATATAGGTGGGTCTTATTTTTTATCCGTTCAGCTGTTCTGTGTCTTTTGATTGGAGAATTTAGTCCATCTACATCTAAAGTAATTATTGATGGATATGTACTATTGCCATTTTGTGAATTGTTTTCTGGTTATTTTCATAGTTCCTCTCTGTTCCTTTCTTCTTCTCATTCTTTCTTCCCTTATGGTTTGATGGCTTTCATTAGCGTTATGTTTGCATTCCTTTCTCGATTTTTGTGTGTGTCCTTACTATAAGTTTTTGGTTTTTGGTTACCATGAGGTTAACATATAACATCCGTGTATGTAATGATCTTTTTTAAGTTGATACCAACTTAAATTTGAACATATCCCAAAACTTTACATTTTGCTCTCCCTTCCGTGTTTTATATTTTCGGTGTCACCTTTTAAATGTTGTTTTACGCATCCCTTAGCTAATTATTGTAGGTTTAGTTAATTTTACTCCTTTTATTTTTTAATTTTCATACTTGCTTTGTAAGTAATAAATCCACTACATTTTCTATATATTTACCTTTTTTCAGTCATATATTTTCTTTTTACTATTTAGTACCCTTTCTTTTCAACTTAAAGAAGTCCCTTTAACATTTCTTGTAAGGCTGGTTTAGTGGTAATGAACCCCTTTAACTTTTGCTTATCTTAATCTCTCTCCTTCAGTTCTCGTTTTTTTTTTTTTTTTGAGGAAGATTAGCCCTGAGCTAACTACTTCTAATCCTCCTCTTTTTGCTGAGGAAGACTGGCCCTGAGCTAACATCCATGCACACCTTCCTCTGCTTTATATGTGGGACGCCTACTACAGCATGGCGTGCCAAGCGGTGCCATGTCCGCACCCGGGATCTGAACCGGCAGACCCTGGGCCACCGAAGTGGAACGCGCGAACTTAACTGCTGTGCCACCACGCTGGCCCCTCTCCTTCAGTTCTTAGTGATAACCTTGCCAGGTAGAGAATTGTTGGTTGGAAGTTTTTTCCTTTTAGCACTTTGAATACTATATCATGCCGCTTACTTCTGGGCTGAAAAATTTCTGCTGGGAAATATACTGATCGCCTTATCAGTTTCCCTTGTATGGAACCAGTTGTTTTTCTCTTGCTGCTTTCAAGATTCTCTCTTTAACTTTTGTCATTTTAATTAGAATGTGTCTTGGTCTGGGTCTCTTTCGGTTCATCTTATTTGGAACTCGGGGCTTCCTAAACCTGGATGTCTGTTTTCTTCTGCAGATGAGGGAAGTTTTCAGCCATTATTTCTTCAAGTAAGTTTTCTGGTCCTTTCTTTCTCTCTTCTTCTTCTGGGTCTCCTATAATGTGAGTGTTATTTTGCTAGATGTTGTCCCAGAGGTCCCTTAAGGTACTTTTACTTGTTTAAATTTTTTTCTTTTTGCTATTCTGACTGGGTGAGTCCCACTGCTTTGCCTTCCAGCTCACTGATCCATTCTGTTTCATCCAATCTTCCCTTGAGCCCCTGTACCGCGTTTTTCAGTTCAGTTCTTGTATTCTTGTAGCTCTGTAACTTCTACGTGGAACTTTTGTATGTTTTCTATCTCCTTTTTGAAGCTGTCACTACGTTCGTTCATTCTTCTCCCATGTTCAGTGAGCATTTTTATGACCATGCTTTGTACTCATTATCAGGTACATTGCTCATCTTCAATTCATTAATGTCTTTTTCTGAGGTTTTGTCTTGTTCTTTTGTTTGGAGCATATTCCTCTGTCTCCACACATTGCCTGACTCTGTGTTTCTTTCTATGTATTAGGAAAATCAACTCTCTGTCCCATTCCTGATGGAGTGGCCTTGTGTAGGAGATGTCATGTGGGCCCCAGAGGCCCAATCCCCCCCAGCAATCAGATCTAGGAGCTCAAGGAGTGTCCTCTGTGTGGGTTGCATGCACCTGTGGCTGCAGCTGGGCTGCAAGTGTAGCACAGAGGAGGCGGGGCTCTCAGTCGGGCTCCCACCAGCTCTGCAAGTTAAAAGGAGTGTACCAAAATGGTGGCTGCCAGCCCCAGTCGTAGCAAGGTGCCCACCAGTGTCTCCATCCCTGGAGAGAATCCCATCAGTTTCCTGCCTGTCCAGCAGGCGTTTTAAGAATAGTACGTGGGTCCATCCCTCCCATAGGGTTTAGGCGCTTTTCAAGTGGTGTTTTTGCACCAAGTCCTCGGGCGAGTGAGTCTGTATGCAAGCTCTTAAAGAGCAGGTTCTCCATTCCCTACAGTTCTTTGGTTTTCCCAGATGTAATCCCCATTGGTTTTCAAAGCCAGGCATTTTAGGGGCTCATCTCTCTAGTGCAGGATTTAAGGGTTGGCGTGCCTCATGTGGAGCACGAACCCCACACTCCTCTGGGAAGAGTTCCGTGTTTTTGAGATCCCTCCCGATTGTAGATCACCCACCTGGAGTGGGTTGTTGTGTCTTGTCTTGTCTTGTTGTTTTGGTGAGCCTGTATCTCTGCCTCTTACTGTCTGTCTCAATGCTGTCCTTTGATCCTCTTGTGGAGGCTCTGTTCCTCCAGTTTTCAGATCTTTTTCAGAGGAAGTTATTCCATGTGTAGTTGTAGATTGTTGTTTTTGTGGGAGGAGGTGAGTTCAGGATCCTCCTACACTGCCATGTTGAACCCCTCTTTCAAAGCAGTAGTAATTTATAAAACGAAGACTAATATAAAGACTTAAGGGCAAAATATTCTAGGGTGGAGTTAGTGTTAAAATATACAGTCTTTTGATTTCTGTCCTATTTGCCAAATCAGAAAGTAAAACAAAAATTTAAATGCTTACTAATTCACTTAAAACAACAATAATAAATTCATTGTATGTTAACATATTTGTTATTATCATACATGCATTATTTTTGTGAAAAATAGCCATGTGTTCTAAAACAAATGAAAAGTATGAGAGAACTTGCACATTTATGTAAATCTCTTTAATGTGGCTTAGAAGAAGACAGCTGGACCCTCATATCTACTTCCTTGTACAGTCTGACGCAATGTCGTGTGTTGCGTATCCTCTGGAAAACTGAGACCCTGTACATCACTGCCCAATAATTTCTCTGATGTCTGTACCTTAAAAAAATAAGTATACATTAAAGAAGCGCATTTTTCCCCTTTGGATAGTTCTCTAAGCCCTTAGAGTTTGCAGAGCAGAGTTCTCATTTTCTGTTTGCAAGAGTCCACAGTGTGAGTCCTCTCAGGACTGAGGGTGGCGTAGTGGAATGGAAAGATCTCTAGATTGGGAGGTGGTGGCAGAGCTGGGGATCGAGCCACTTGCCCTAACCAGCCTGTGACTCAGAATCACATCATTTCTCTGGGTCTTCCCTTCCTCATCTGTGAGTTTGATATAAAATATTTAAAACCACTTACAGCTTTAATCATCCATGACTGTCAGAAGTTAGAAGATTGACTTCACTTAAAAATGTGATCTAGGAATATTTGGGTTTTTTTAATTCTCAGGTTTTGTGTGTTTTTTGCTTTCTAGATGAAAGGGACTTTGAGGGTGAAGGATGTATCTTAATGTTGTACCTAGGAATACAAGCTTGATCTGTAGCTGCATTTTTCATTCTTTGCATTAATAATAGAAAAACCAAAGAAAATACTGTTATAAAGACTTAGAATTTTAAGTGATTTCACATGGCTGTGTTTGCTGGTAGAGATTTTTAGTGTAGATAAAAGCAATTGATTTTTCTGCCCTTCATCCTTTTCTGATGTAAACCAGTTGGTCTTGGGGATATACATTCCCTATTCTTCTTTTGCAGATTAACTCGTAAATATTTTTACATCCATTATTAGGTTATCAAGAAAATGGGACATTATCTCAAGATGAATATAACAGTACCAGAAGATTACATTGAAGGATTTATTCGGGCCAATAATACCTTCCTTTATCAGCTGGTTTTTGATCCCATCAAAAGGAAACTCGTCCCTCTGAATGCCTATGAAGATGACATTGCTCCTGAAACATTAAGCTACGCTGGGCGGTATCCTTTCTGAACCAGAATGGTAGACTTTTGCAATTCTTCCATATTTTTATGGTGATCTTTTAGTGAGACATTCAGTAAAAAGCTTGCAAACTGTTTTTTACTATCTTTTTTATAGCAAAATCTGTGTTTTGTTCATTTTAATTATAATGCTAATTTTCATTATAATGCTAGTGAAAATTTGGAGCAGCTTTTTGTTTGTAATCCTGAGGCTCATCTGTTATAACTTCTGATTACTTTGACTTGACAGAAACGTGTACCGAGTCAGTCACTTCAGGTACATATTCCAAAGGTGACACTTACGAGAACCCCTTGTGGCAAGCCAGCTCCATTTATTAGGAGGAGCATTCTGGGCATGCGAGTACACCAGTCGAAGATGCCCTTCCCATGGCTGCTGGCCATGTGTACCAGGTGATGCAGAGCCCTGGGTCACTTAGTGATGGCCAGGACTTTCCATTTCCCTTGAAAGGGGTGAGTGATGACCTGAGGCTTTGCTTCAGAAACACCAACTCCTGCAGTGACAAGCAGAGACTAGTAAACTGTGCCTGCAGTTTCGATAACGCAAATGTAGAAGGGAAGTGGGATCCGTTAAAGTCATAGACCTGAAGATTTTCCGTGATGATAGAGAACACTTTTCTATCTCATTACAGTAACATTTGTTTGGTTGTTAATAAAAAAGCATTTTTCCTTAATCTTACCAACCTAGGTATGTTGATGATTCTGTAGCTCTTCAAATAGCACTTGGAAATAAAGATATAAATACTTTTGAACAGATTGATGACTACAATCCAGACACTGCTACGGTAACATTTTAACGACTTTCTTTCAAAAGAGCACATTTTAGTTATGTCTCAGGAACCGTGACTAAAGACATAGCTTTATTTAGTAAACATCTTTTAAGCCTTTCTGTATCCAGGCACTATGCAGAGTGTAGATTGAAAACAACTTGATTCTAGAGAAATTATATCTCTTAGAATGTAGGTAGGTGTATGGGTTAATTTCCTCAAATTAAAAAGTGACCACATTATATATTATCACACCTTTAGACTTGAACATTTCATTTGAATATACCAAGTGTTTGTTGCCTTTTTTCTCATCTCACCCCATTCAGCCTCTGGCATTTGGCGTTGTTGAAGACCCAAACCTAGCAACAATACCCTTGGGAGTAAAAGCTGTTTTTTCACTCATTCACCATTTAGCAAATACTCCTAGAACACCCTGCTGTGGGTCTTTGAGCTCTTTCACGTTTTCCTCTCCTTTTTCCCAGTTGCATATCCCTCATGGCACTCTCCCACCGTGCTCTTGTTTCTGTTCATACTTTCATTCACACTCTTATCTTTTGTGTTATTTATTCTTTACATAAGTTCTTATGACTGATTACCTCATTTATGCAGACAGCTCATACATCTTTCACCCAGTCTCAAGTCTGTGCCCCAACCACATAATTCTAAATGTCTCTTGGATCGCTGCACAGCTGATTTCGTCTAACACTAAATCCATCCACAGTCAAAAGCAGACTCTTCATTCCTTATCAACTTTTCTTAATAACATTTCCTGTTTTTCTTTTTAGCACTTATTACTGTATAAATTATGTCTCTATTATTTTCTGATTCTTCCCGATAGAATGTAATCATAAAGGCAGGATTTTATGATCTTCACTGCTATGTTATGTTTACCATGTTTATTTGTTGAATGAATGAATGTCAGTTACATGATATCTTTCATTCTCTCAGACTAGAAAACTTAGAAATAAATTTTGGCTTCTCTTTCATTGCTAAGTCCTTTTGCTTCTTTTAGTTGTCTTTCTGGCTGATCGTTTCTTCTCTCTCATTAGCTTCTAGTCTGATCCAGGTCTTTTTACTCATTAATTCAGTCCTTTACTGTCCATTTATTAAGCACTGTAACAAACAGATTAGCTAGTGTTCTGGAATATAAAGAAAAATAAAATATAATCCTTGGTCATAAGGTACTCATTGCGTAGGGGAAGGAGATTATATATATAGAAATGTTGTAAGTGCTATAATAGAGATGTATTCTAGTCTCCATGGAAACAAAGGGCATGCACCTAATTCCTCCTAAGGAGAGAATGCTTCATAATAATAATAGCAAATGTTTACTGAGCATTTTCTATGTTCTAAGTGCTATTCTGAGCACCTTACACATAGTAACTCATTTACTCTTCAACAAGCCTCTAAGGGCAGTACTATTATTCCCATTCCACAGATGAGGAAACAGTTAGAGAGAGGTTAGCTAACTTGCCCAGGTCACGTGTTTAATAAGCAGAGGAGCTGTGATGCCAAGCCAGGCTCTCTACTCTCCTTGTAGAAAAACTGATGTGTGTCTGGGTTTGCAAAGATTAGTGGGGAATTTCAAGACAGATGAGTGATTCCAGGCTGAAGAAATGGCATGTATGGAAGGGGGTAACACGTTAACAGAACTCTAAGTAGTTTCTTATGACCAGACCAAGAATGTCTCAGTGTTCACCAGGTAGAGGAACCAGAGTGCCTTAGGACAGAAAAAGGTGAACCTGGAGAGCATGGCCACTGACAAACCAGTGACCAGTGTACACTGAAAAGAAATCGTTATTGTCGGTTGAAATAAACCCAGCCTACCAAGAGAGCACACATCCGTAATGACACTAACCAAGAACTTCATGTTCATCAACTCAAATTACATAAACCTGGCACTCAAGTTGCTATTTCCTCTTTACTGTTTTCTCTGTTTCTAGAGCTTCTATTGACGTTGGATTTCTTCATCTTCAAATTTATTTTTTTTTTTTGAGGAAGATTAGCCCTGAGCTAACTACTGCCAGTCCTCCTCTTTTTGCTGAGGAAGCCTGGCCCTGAGCTAACATCGTGCCCATCTTCCTCTGTTTTATATGTGGGACGCCTACCACAGCTTGGCGTGCCAAGCGGTGCCATGTCCGCATCTGGGATCCGAACCGGCGAACCCTGGGCTGCCAAGAAGCGGAACATGCGCACTTAACCGCTGCGCCACCGGGCCGGCCCCTTCATCTTCAAATTTTGAACCTTTTCTATTTCAGTCCTGTCTTTGTCTTTTGTTCTCTCTGTGAAAATATTTTTTTAATTTTGTCTCTCAACTTTGCACTATCCACTGTGGTAGCCACTAGCCACATGTGGCTATTTAAATTAATTAACATGAAATAAATTTAAATTTTAGTTCTTCAGTTGCATTGGCCACCTTTCAAGTGCTTAGCAGCTACCATGTTGGACAGCACGGAACATTTCTAGCATTGCAGAAAATTCTGTTGAATTTTTAATTTCTGTTATCATTTTCATTTCTAAGGGCTCTTCTTTAATTGTACTTTTTTAAAGATTTTGTTTCATAGATGTAATCTCTTATATCTCTCTCAGAATATTAATTATAATTTCTTGAACATTTTCTTTGTTCTGTGTTTTTTTATGTTTTGGCCTTTTCTCTTCTGTGGCGAAGTCTTTCTTCTCATGTCTGGAGCTCGTTGTCCAGTTGTTCCTCCTGGGAGAGGCACCAAGAAGTGCTGGAAGTGTGTGAGTGAGGGGCTGACAGCCTTGGGCTTTGCTCCCAGGGGTCTGTTGGTGACAAGCTGGCTTTGTTTTGTGAATTCCCCATGTGGCTGTGTGCATTTTGAGAGCAGGATGGGGTGAGTGAGTGGGGCAGGCCAGGGAGGGGAGGCAGCTTCCCGCCATTCTGTGTTTAGTCTTTCATTTGACCTCTGTGTTTAGGGACGTGGACCTTCCCAGCTTCTCAAGTGTGTGCTGTTTCTGTGTTACTGTTTCTGGGTTTATTTCAAGTGTCCAGTTGCTCTGCTTCTGAAGGCAGGTGGGTGTGAATTGACTGTATGGTCAGGTTGAAGATGAGGGCCAGGGGTCAAATCATCCTTTTGTCGGCCCTCCCCATGTTTATGGCCTCCATGGTACCTGGTGCCTTAAATCCCTGAGCCTTTCTCCAGGTTTCTGTATTTGGAATTGGCTTCTCATTGGTATTGTCTTCTGCAGAGCCTTGGGTTTGATCTCTCTTCTGCCAAGTTCCTTCATTCCTTCTGTCTATACTGTTGTCTTCACGGTGGTTTGGAAGTTACACACATGTCCTAATTTTATTGCAGATGGAGATGGTGTTTCTTTCTTGCTCTTCTTGTTTTGGAGGATGACTACTGAAAGAAGGGACTGAAGTGTTTGCTATCTTCTCTGCACATTTGAATTATTGGTATTATAATTTCATCAGGAATGATTCTTAAGTTTTTCCTTTGCCTCAGAAACTCAAAAATAATTGGTTGTATTGAATATGTCCAGATCTGAACAGGAATGTTATGGCTCTTTAAGATGGCTATCCTTTATGAACACAAATCCTTATCAGATCTTTCCTTTCTTCATGGAGAAATTTCTCCAGGAACCATTAATTGTACATCAAACTAATTCATTCTTTTTGTTTATCTAAAACTATTTCTTCCCAGTATGATTTCCTACTTGCCTATTTCTCTTTTTTCAATAAAACCATCAGTGGGCTGTAATGCCATGATCTATACTGCTTAAGCTGTGTTTTATACCCATTCCCTCAAGTATTCTAAATTACCTTCCTTGTTAATTCTCAAAGTGTATCCTGAGTAATGTCACCTTGTTTTATTTATGTATTTCTACTTTTATCCTTTATTTAAGTAAAAGACTTAGATTCTAAGTTCAGGTGGGATTTTTGTCAGGTGGAATTCATGCCCTAAGTACCAACGTCTTTTGTACCTTTGTTAATTTTTCCCTTTGCCTCTCTTGCTCTATTAGAATATCATTGACTGGGGCCGGCCCCATGGCTGAGTGGTTGAGTTTGCGCACCTGCTTCCGCGGCCCAGGGTTTTGCTGGTTCAAATCCTGGGCACGGACATGGCACTGCTCATCAAGCCATGCTGGGGCAGCATCCCATATGCCACAACTAGAAGGGCCCACACCTAAAAAATACACAACTCTGTACTGGGGGGCTTTGGGGAGAAAAAGGAAAAATGAAATCTTTAAAAAAAAAAAAAAGAAGAATATCATGACATCCTCCTAGCACATCATTGTCATCCAAAATATATTTAGTTATTAATTGTGAATAACTTATATTAGCATTAAAAATGATTGCTTACTGGCAACACATCCTTTCTCAAAGGAATTTTATGCAGCACTCAGTGGAGAACACAGTAGCTTTCTGGTTCTCTGTATTGCCCACTGAAGATGGTACCAAGCATGGGTCTAATAAAAACTAGTGTTTTGCAAATTAGATTGTTTTGGTTTGAACTCAACCATTTCTAGAGATGAGATAGTTAAGTACATGATTTTATGGTTTTAACTTTCAGGTGCTTTTTAAAGGGTAGGTAAATGACTATTTAGAGGCCTATTGTCAGATGATTATTAAGCTGATTAATACTGTGTTTTGAAATAATACTCAAATTTTAAAAGTGCTTTTTTTTCTGGCCACGTTTTGTCAAGTGCAGTTTCATTTCTTGCACTGTTCATCTTAGAAAGATTCATTTTATATTTCTTAGAAATGAGCCAACAAGGTTGCTTGACCTTCACTAGAAGAGAAACAGACCTAGGAATATAAGACATGATGAATGGAAAACTGTACAACCAGCAAAGTATGAAATGTTATTAGAGGACAGATATTTCATCAAAAACCGCTCAAAGGAGTAATTTAATTATTTCCTTATAGTTTATATTGATACAGAAGGAAATGGTTTGCCTGTTTTCCTTCTTCAAGTAACCTTTTCCTTTTACTATTTTAGCCTGCCCAATCAAGAAGTCATAGTTGGAACGATAAAACATGTCAGAAGTCATCTAATGTTAATAGCATTTGGCATAGGAATTATTGCCCTGGAGTTGAGCTGGATGTTGTTTCAGATGCTCCAAGGTTGAAGGAAAAGCCAAGCACTGTGGGCATTGAACAAGTGATTAGTGCTAAAGGGCTAAATCTTCCAAGGAGGTCATCCATTGTGAAGAGACCAAGAAGTGGTACGTATTTTGTTTTTGTGAAGTACTGGTGAGTCTTGGTCACGTTTAAGAAGTCTTTGCTAAACCCAAGATCACTAAGAGTCTCTCCTGTTTTCTTCTAGAAGTTTTATAGTTTTAAATGTAGGCCTGTTACATATAGGCCTTCAATCCATTTTGAATTACTTTTTATATGGTGTGAGGTAAGGATCAAGTGCACTTTTTTTGTATATAACAATCCAGTTGTTCCAGCACCATTTGTTATAAAGATTGTCCTTCCCCATTGAATTGCCTTGGCACATTTGTTGACAATCAATTGACCATGTATGTGTGGATCTGTTTCTGGACTCTCTTATTCTGTAGCATGGGTCTCTTTTCCTATCTGTATGCCAGACACATGGTCTTGATTACTGGAGCTTTATAGTAAATGTTGAAATCAAGTGGTAAAGGTCCCCTAAGTTTGTTCTTTTGTGAAGTTGTTTTGGCTATTTCGTGTTCTTCACATTTCCATACAAATTTTAGAATCCACTTGTCAGTTTCTAAAAAGAAAATTCCTGCTGAGATTTTGATTGGGATTTGGTTGAATCGTATAGATCAGTTTGGAGAGAACTGACATCTTAACAATATGGAGTTTTCTGATCCATTTATTTAAGCATTCTTGAAGTCTTCAGCAGTGCATTGTAGTTTTCAGTGTACAGGTCTTGCACACCTATTGTCAAATTTATCCCTATATTTCAGATTTTTGATACTATTGTAAATAATATTTTTATATTTGTTTCTAGTTATTCATTGCTAGTAAATAGAAATACAATTGATTTTTTGTATATTAATCTTGTATTCAGCAACCTTACTAAATTCACATATTAGTTCTAGCATCTCTGGACTCTGTAGGATTTTCTATACAGATGATCATATCACCTGCAAATGAAGACAGTCTTGCTTCTCCTTTTCCAGTCTAGATGCCTTTTATTTCTTTTTCTTGCCTGCTGGAACTTGAGCTACAAGACTGAAGAGAAGTGCTAAGAGTGGAGTTCTAGGTATTGGGAAAAGGGTTTTTCACCATAGAGCATGTTTAGAAGTAGAAAGAATAATTGTAATCTCTTCCTTCTCTCTTCTTTCCCTCAGACATCCACATGAATGAATGAAAGTCTAACAACAAAAACAAAACAAAGCCCTTTGTAAACTTTTAGATCATGCTTTTATTTTTTTAATTAGGTATAGATTATTCATATTTGGCCAAAATGTCCTGATTCCTTATGAACCTAAATCTTTTTCATGATAACATCTCTGAACCTTTGTTTCCTCTTTCTGAAATGGGAATGATACTGCCTATTTCACAAATTTTTGTATACGTTGTATAACATATATCGGCCCCTGGTACATAGCAAGTACGCTATCCATATTAGTTCCTTCCCTTCTGCTGCCATCAAGATAGGCTTTTATGTAGAGAGCTCATTATCAGTAAGTTCCTCATGTCAGACTAAGTCTGCTTTGTTATAACTACCACTTATCAGTGGATTTTGTCCCCTGGGCACACACACAAACAAAATAACAGTACGTTTTTTACCTCTTTTATGTGACAGCCCTTCATATATTTAGGGACAGCCATTTTGACCCTCCTAAATTTCTTTTCCAAGCTGAAAGTTCGCTATCTATCCAGGTTGTGCTTTGGATACTGTATGTACAGACTTTTAATAATTGTATAACTGTTACAGTGAGAAGTTGTTGAGATATGGTCTGCTTGCCATGGAGCACAGTAAATATTTAGAAATGTGCTATTTCAGTCCTGCATCCAGAGACTGCTTTTATTATTGCAAACTAAGATAGCATTGCTTTTATTAGCATTCTTGACATTTTGCTGCCATTTACTGAGTTTATAAGTTTATAAGTCTGGAAATCTAGAGCACTCTGCTAGAGACAGACCTCCTTTCTAACTGATAGTCGCCAGCGATCTTTCAGGGCTGTTCACCTTGCTGCAGTTCGGATAACTAATATCCCGCAAACTTTGCTCTACAGTGTCCACTAGGATAACGTGAGAGGCACTGAAGTGTCCTGCTCGGTTCAAGTTATGCTAAATCTATGGACTCCTCCGGGTAGCTTGTCCAACAGCATTAGCATAAAAAGAAAGTGAGGTGAGCCTGGCTTGGCTTCTTGGTGAAGCCTTGCTGGAGAGCCTACAATATTTGTTTTTTCCTCTTCTGTAAGGGCTCACAATTCCCTGCATAATAAACAATTTTCAGCTTTTGCCAGGGATCAAAATCAAGTTTACTGATGTATAGCTTTTTAAAAATCTATGCATTTTTAAATTTGAGGTATCATTTTTTTGTCTCTAGTATTTTGGTACCCCCAACCACTTCACCGACTCCTTAGAGAAGTGAGTGTTTACTCCTACATGAGTGGGAGCTGTTCAGACTGAGGGCAATATAAAGCACCTTAGTGCTTTCTCTATGGCCTCACCTATCTCAGGCTTTAACCCTTTGTATTGTTATTCTTATGATTTATTCTAATACCGTAGAATACATTTGCCACACAGCAGTCTTCTAGGGCCCATGGCTAGTAACGAGGATCAGAGCCAGAGCACAGATTACTTCCACTACATGGCGGTCACATGTACCTCAAAAATCATAAAATGTGGATGGTGTGCACAAATAGCTGCTGGTTTTATTTGGATACTTATTTAATTAATCATTTAAATTCAACATTAAATTCATCATACACTGACATGTAAATTGCCTTAAATTTTTTTACATTCAAAATTAGGCCCTTTAGTATAATGAGTGTATAACTTTACAGAATCACTTATGTTCTAAAATTTTGGTTTGTGTAATTTCACATAAATTGCACAAATAATTGACATTAAATCTTAGCTAACTTATGAAATTGTAAAGCACCGCTAAGGGAGTTTTTGTTTTTGTTTTTTTTTGACTCATCCTGGTATTTCCTTTTGTGATGCATAGTTTACAAAATTAATGGCCGAGCTCGTGGAGTCGTGGTTAAGTTTGCATTCTCCACTTTGGCAGCCCAGGCTTCTCAGTTTTGGATCTCAGGCATGGACCTACACACCGCTCATCAAGCTATGCTGTGGCAGCATCCCACATACAAAACAGGGGAAGATTGGCACAGATGTTAGCTCAGGGCCAATCTTCTTATCAAGAAATAAAAAAATAAGCCTTCATCTTTAGGACAATGAGACATGAACTGTGAGGTTAAGTCCAAATCTCTAACTACACGTGAAACAAAGAGTTACAAATAATTTTGTTTTTATTTAGAAGAGCTGTCCGAAGATGATCTGTTGAGCCAATATTCTCTTTCATTTACAAAGAAGACCAAGAAAAATAGCTGTGAAAGTAATAAATCATGGAACTCTTCTGAAACATCCCTGCCTGACCTGGTGGATGGAACTACTATTAAAAAAAGCTTAAGCACACCACCAACGACAAGAAATAAATTTGCAGCATTTTTACAGAGAAAAAACGAAGAAAGTGGTGCAGTTGTGGTTCCAGGGACCAGAAGCAGGTACAGTTTATACCTACAGAATGTTGTCTGTCTATTGTATTATATACTCCTGATAGTTATTTTAATCGTCTTGAGTAAACATTGAGTCTAGTGGGGGTAGATGTAGGACCTGGCTCAATCCAGTTACGGTCTTTATCACGGATTGCCTTAGTTCCACTGTTCCCTTGAGCTCCTGTTACTTCTGTAGTCTCTCCATGCAGAACCAAGGTAACAATTGTAGACCCTAGTACATTTTGCATTAGAAGAATTCTTTTATTTTGGGGAGTCCTCCACTTCTTTGTTTCTACTGTTTTAGTTTCTTTAAAAGCTAAATACAATTTTGCAAAGTGCCTTTATAAATATATTTAAGTAGAGATGACTAGTTCTAGTATTAATTGAGAACTTAGTACCATATTAGGTGCCAGGTTACAAAAATGAGACATAGTTTTTGTTCTTGAGAAGCTTGTAGTTTAGTTGGAAAAAGAGGTCCATAAACAAAATCTTTCCATACAGTGTGGTCAGTACAGTGATGAAAGCATGCATGAAGCGTTCTGAGGGCATTAAAGGGTCATCTAATGCCGAGTCACTGATTAAGAAGGGTGAGCGGGGAGGGACGAGGGCTAGGTGCCATTACCTAGGTTTATATGCCCAGGAGGGAGAAGCAGACGAAGAATGGAACCAGGTGCCTTCCCAGTGGAGTCAGCAGCTTGGGCAGAGGCGTTGGGGTGAGCAACAGCGTGGCGCATGGGGCAGCTACTCGCTGTTGATCACTGCTGTTTTTACTACCACCAGAATTTAAGATGGGGAAAGGATGCTGAGGGAGCAGAAATAAGCAGGAGGCCAGGTCATAGAAGGCTTTAAGCAAGCTACGGAGCTTGTAGTCTTGGGGGTGATGGGAAACATTCAGAGGGTTTTAACCAGGGGATGGGTACGACTTGACTCCTGGTTTGCATAGACCACGCTGAGCACACTGTGAAGAATGGACTGCAGGCGGCCAGATGTGGATTAGAGAGGTCAGTGAGGCTGTTGCCATAGTCCCTGTGAGCGACAATGAGAATTTGAAGAGTCAGTATAACTTTGGGGTTAGGAATTTGGACCCTGGGAATGGACCACCTGGATTTAAATCCCGTCCTGTTTACTCATAGATGTTTGACTCGGGCAGGTAAACTTCTGGGGGCTTCACTTTCTTCTTTTTAAAAAATGGTGCTAACAACCTCAGGATCCTTGAGAGGATTAAGTTATTACTCTAAGTAGAGTGCCTAAAACAGTGCTTGAGAGAGGACACACACACACTATGAACAGCTCTTATTTCTTTGCCTGGATGGTGGCACCACAACCAGAAACAGGAAGTGTAAGTGTCAGAAGTTATTTAGGCGTGATATAGGAACTCTAAGAAAAGGAAAATTGATCAGCCCTGCTATTCCTCTAGAAGACTTAGAATGGATATTTTTTGTTTTTCAAGTTTAATAAACCAAGCTGCAGCCAATTTTGTCTCATCATGATGGTGGGAGATGGGCATGCAGGAGTGAACGACTGGTGACCCCTAAGCCTCACTTCAGGTGGTGTTTCAAACCCCTCTCCCGTGAGTCTTCTCCTGTCGACTTTTCTCAAGGAAACAGTCGCAGTACAATTAAATGGTCATTTTGACTCTTCTTTTGCGAGTCACCCTCATTAAAGGTGCTTGTTAACAGTTGACTGATGAACAAGTAGGCTGCGAAAGATGGGAAATAGCGTTCTAGATGATATATGCTGATTAATAAGTTCTAGAAAGTCGACTTCCCTCGCTTGGAGAAATTTTTGGAACTTGTGTTTCATTTTTCCACTTGGGCGAAAATAGAGTTTCTTTTTTCTTTCTCTTAGTGTTTATCTGTTAATGAGAACACTGTCTCTACAGATCTTGCCTGTTTAGTCATTGTAGAAGCTTAATGAGCTCTCCGTCTGAGGCTCTATATAGCTGCTTTATGTAGTTTTGTTAGATGGTCCCCTAGTAAATTGTTCAGAGAGTGCATTAAGACATGCTTGGAGAAACCATTTTTTCTCTGTCAGCTTCCTGTGAAATAATAATTGGGAGTAAGTCTTTGATGTATAATTTTCTGATCTGGGTTATATAGCAATATCTAATAATAACTAGATATTATTAAATTCATTTTCTTAGCTAATTTTCAAAGTTCTTTTTATGTGTTTGCTTATTCCTCATAACATTTTGAGATATTTAGATTTGGCGTTATTTTCTCATTTTGGGCTAAGAAATTGAGGCTCTGAGAGGTTAAGAAGCTTCCCAAGGGTCCTATAGTTAGTATTGATGATAAGAAAGAATCCTCGTCATAGTTGATGTGGTGGATTGAAGGGAGCACACAGTCTGATAGGCTAGGACTTAAATCCCCAGTCTGTCTTCTGGTGAGCTGCCTTATCTTTCACACGCCACTTAACTTCCCTGAGCATATTTCTTTAGAAAATATGGACCATGGTATACGTAAGGCTGTTCTTAAGACTAGTAGGAGTTATGCATATCAAACACCCAGCACATTGCCCAGTCATTAATATATATGCAAGTATTCATTACCACCCCATTCTTTTTAATATAAAGCAACAGGAGGTATTAAATATGCAGAAGATTGTCTCCAATCTGTCTGCATTTTTGCAAGTCTGTTTTAAGTCTTCATTATATAGATACTCATCCTAGAAACATGCCAGTTTACTTTTTGAGATCTAGAAATATAAATATCAGTTGAGTAACACCACAGGCTGGTTGATTTTATGACCTTGCCACTGTCACTTCTCTTAGCGATGAAATAATACATGCGAAGATAATTGGAAAGCATAGGGGTTATTATTTACTTAAAAATGGATTATGTGATCAGATCTAGGAGCCCACTTTTCTGCTCAGTGAAGAACCTGGCAAGACCTTCCTTCCATGTTCTGCTTTTTTCCTGCCCTGTACCCACACACCTCAGCTAGGCATTTGATGAAAGGATAGAGAGGATTTCTGTTCCAGCATTTAGTAAATATTCTGTTTATCATCTTGGACTTGGACTAATGCTTATTAAGAAGGTAAGTTCTCTTTAAGTTTCATATTTATCATGTACTCTAGGATTCTGTTTTTCTCTTCTTTTTTTTTTTTAAGATTAGCCCTGAGCTAACATCTGCCACCAGTCCTCCTCTTTTTGCTAAGGAAAACTGGCCCTGAGTTAACATCCATGCCCATCTTCCTCTATTTTATATGTGGGACGCCTGCCACAGCATGGTTTGACAAGTGGTGCATAGGTCTGCACCCGGGATCCGAACCAGCAAACCCCAGGCTGCCAAAGTGAAGCATGCAAACTTAACCACTGTGTCACCAGGCTGGCCCCTCTAGGATTTTCTTTTTAAACCTAAAAACCCTCCTTGAATACAGCCTCCCCAATGATGGTACTGATGTTTCATTTGTAGTGGAGTGTTTTTAAGTGATTTATTGAAGCTGCTACACAGAATAAGTAATACTTCTTTAGTAGCATAGAATTTAATGATTGATGTGAAAGTCAACCTCAATATTTAAGATAGTGTAGTAGTTTATAGGATATATAAAGAGCTGATAGATTAGCATGCTACTATAAGTTCCCAGATGATTTGCTACTAGGAATTAAGCTAAGATGAGGGGCAAATGGTAATATCTTTCATTTTGCTTTTACAAAATAAGAGACAGTAGTTGTAAATTGTGCTTTCTGTTGCATATTTCCATATCTGTTCAAATATCTGACTGTCAGCCATGAGTTGGCCACTCTTTGAGGTACTGTGGAGGACACAAAGGCAAGGACAGTACCTTTCCTCAAGGAGCTTGTAGTCAAGGAATTAAAAAGGTTAGAGGAAAGCAAACCTATGTGATGATTAGGTATAGATGAAGTGCTCAAGTTCCAAGTACGTGTATGTATAGGTGACTGCTTTTAGAAAGTTCTTTCTTGGGCCGGCCTGGTGGTGCAGCGGTTAAGTTCACACGTTCCGCTTCTCGGCGGCCTGGGGTTCACTGGTTCTGATCCCGGGTGCGGACATGGCACAGCTTCGCAAGCCATGCTGTGATAGGCGTCCCACATATAAAGTAGAGGAAGATGGGCACGGATGTTAGCTCGGGGCCAGTCTTCCTCAGCAAAAAGAGGAGGGTTGGCAGTAGTTAGCTCAGTGCTAATCTTCCTCAAAAAAAGGAGTCTGTCTCCAAAGTCGGTGTGTAAATAAATTTCTAAATGTGGGAATGTTGGCATAATCAGAATTTAAACTCTCAAGATCTCTTTTGCCTTTATTTATGAAATTATGTAACTGTAAGACTTTTTTTTTTTTTAAAGAAACTTTCATTTTTCCATTTTGAATTTTGTCACCTTTGTGAGAAAACTCTAAAATACTTAGGCATTCTTTCTGTTGTGTTTTTTGTTAGGTTTTTTTGCAATTCTCTGGAGTCCACTGATTGTGTATCAAAGACAGCAAGCAGCCAGCCTCTAGAGGAAGCCACTGTCACAGATAAGGAGACCAGTGTAAATGACTCGGATTGTCCAGATGGCCAGAGTCTGGTCGATAGGACTGTAGCGCCTAGCTCAAGTGATCAGATTCCGGATGAGGCAACTGGGACTGCTGATGATGAGGCTCAGTCTTCTGAAACCGACAAATTCACAAGGACCATTTCACCACCCGCTCTGGGAACACTCAGAAGTTGTTTTAGTTGGTCGGGCAGTCTTGGAGGTTTCTCGAGAACCCCGAGCCCCTCTCCACGCGCAGCGCTGCAGCAGTTCCGCAGAAAGAGCGATCCCCTCACGCCTCTGCCTGCCGGTAATGAGACGTCTGAACCCTCTCAGTTAAAGAGCCAGGAGGCAGGTGATGAGCCTCAGCCCTCGCAGGAGGCGCGTTGGTCCTCACAGTCTCAGGAAAGCGTGGAACTGTCCCCGCACAGTCTGAATGTATCAAGCCTTTCCCAGCCTTCTAGTAAGGATTCGGATTCAGAGGTACGTCACGTTAGGAAGCCTTTGTTTTCAAATTCATGCGTAAGAGAAAATAGGATGTTTATCAGATAATTGAGGAAATTTTGCCTACGTTATGGAAATAATTGGCTGTCTTGATTTTTTCTTCTAGATCTTACTGTGTAGAAAGTTCACATTTTATTCATCAGAAGGACTTCTCTGTATCTTTCGTATTTTAAACTCTTGTCTGTTTACTGTAACTCTGTTTCTTGAATCACTATGTGTTCCATTGATAGGTATCTCAAGTTGTGGAACAGTTAAGACCTAAGCTGAAGAATAAGCTATGAAATGAAAAGTTGTTATAAATTTTACATTTAAATCCTTAATATTCTCTTGAATCCAGATAACATTTGAAACTTTATGAGAAATGGCCCTATTAATGTGGGTGTTTGTCTTAAATTTTAGTACTTTACAAATGTATTTTCGTTTACTCATCTTATTCTTGCTAAACTTCCCTTTCTAACAAAACAAAATAGTAATGCAGGTAATTTTATGTTGTTCTCTTTTAAATTAATAAAAGCATCCTAACCATTTTTTCTTATTTATAAAATATCTCTTATTCTGACTTAAATAAAATCAAAGCTCCAAATAAGAACTGTTTATAAGACCCAGTGACATTATATTTTAAAATGACATAATAGCATAATAGCTTTCTTTAAATCTGAGTTATCTCAAATATTACCAATATAACATACTTTGTTTTATCTTTACCAACTATAAGTACCAAGTTGTAAGAACAATTTCAGCCTTGGTAACATTTGACAGAATTTTATGTCTCATAATCCTGAATACTGAACAGCATCTAATAAATCAGTATAGCTTATATTTACCAAAAGGAAAATATTTTGTTCAAATTCCCAAAGGAAACTTGAGTTGTATTGGACTCAAATTGAAGAAAAAAGCCAAGTTAAATGTAGAAGCAAATTTTCATTTGGAGAAAGCTGAAATCAGTTAATATATTCAAATACAAAATTTGTCCCATGGAGTGTTTTTTAAGTTTTAAGAGTATGCCAAACCAAATTTTTGCTTTTCTTTTTCCATTTCACTTGCTTTGCCTTCAGTTCATCCATACTGGTCTAGAAGACTCTTTCTGTTTCTTTTAAGATGAGTCTCCTAAATTTTAGTGTCATCTTTTTTATTTTTCATCTCATACTGCATTTTCTCTGTAATGGGTCACCATTTGGGTACCACCACAGTTGCTTTCTCTTGAGCATCTTTCATAAAATCATCACCATCTATTTGTGAGGATACTTTTAGTCTCTTAAGCTCCTTTGGGGCATTCTTTTTCATTTTTCCAGCAGACATCTTCCTGTTTCACTTACTTTGTTAGCTTGTAGCCGTGTTTACGGAGAAGCCTTACCAGCTCACAGGCTCTGGGCTAGTCATGCTGGGCTAACTGTTTTTTATACTAATCAGTTATAGAAACATGAATCCTCTCCCCCCACCAAAAAAGCAAACTAACTAAACTTAACCAGGAATCATTCCTTAAGTCATCTCTTCCCATCAGATGTAGTGAATTCCTATTAGGATAAATGAGTTATTAATTCTCACAGAATTGGGACACTAACAGTTAACAAAAAGCTCTGTAGTCTTTCTTTGATTCAGAAAGTGTTTCAGAAAGTCACAGTGCCATTGGGGCATCATTTTGAATATCGGTTTTTACTGTATGGTTCTGAAGAAAATGTTTCTCTGCGGACACTTCTGTTGTTGGTTCACTGAAAAGCAAGAGCTGTGGGGTCTGTGCGTGAGTTGATTGATGCTCTCTGAGGGGAATCACTCTTAGGATCTTACTCAGGAGTTTGAATTTAGGAAATGATTTAGCACGGAGTCACCACTGCTAGCTATGAGCCAGGAATAGTAGAGTTTTTGTAAGTTACAATCCAAATTTATAGAGTATTTTTCACTTTTGCGTTGTTTTTTAAGTGCATTCCAAGATAAATATTTTTTTTTTAAGTATGAAAAATGCAGAAATGTGAAGTCTTCTGAATTTCCAGTCACTGTCCTTTATGTATTTGACTTTCATGGGAATCCAGATTATTCCGTCTATAGGAAAGTCTTCCATGGTGGGATTGGGGTACATAGGGTAGGTCTTAAAGTCATTGCGAAGGTAACTGCATTTGACACAATACTACCCTATTTCTTAAAAGTAGGTGCCTTTTTTCTCTTTAATGTTGAGCACGTTACGCAGTTAAAAGAGGAGATGTGGAACTCTCCTAGTTCAGCATTTTGTAGCTAGTAATGTACGGAAATTGTTAGCCAAGCGTGCAGTGATGTTACAGCAGGAGACTTGTCTTATCTGAGTCAGCATTTTGATGCTCCTGAGATGATTCAGAAAAGCTTCGATTTTAAATGCAGACTTTATGTTATACCATTTACTTCTCCAGGTAAAGCATCTGCTAGTATCTGCAGTGGGACTTGGAATGAAACTGGCAACATTCTTTCCACAGTAGATTCATTTTCTTTTATTCTATCCTGTGCTTTTTATACTTTCTTTTCTCAGAAATTACATTTTATTTACACTGATTTTTCTCATTTTACTTGTTTCATGTTTTGTTGAATATTAGTTGTCATTAAAATTCCATAGTAAAAATCTAATTTTATTTTATTTTTTGATCTGGGGGAATCTAGGAATCTGATTGCAGTTTTAAGTCAATTGGTAATCAAGGTAATCAGAAATCCGAGCTACATTTATCTCATTTTTCAAAAAAAGACATGCTTCTAAGGAACAAGGTAAAACTTTTATTTAAATTTTTTTTAAGTTCAGAAGCACTGCATGCTTATTACCAGAAAATTAGAAATATAAGCAAAATTAAAATTCCCATATTCTTATTTACACAAAAAGGTTTACTTTCAAACCTTCTAGGACCGTGTTTGTGCTTAATTGTAGGTGTTTAAGTTGTGAAATCTGCTATTTTCTCTTACCGTATAAAGATCTTTCTCCGTGTACTTATTATAGCATTACTTATAGTGACTGTATACTATACCATTCTTTGGGTTCAGCTGATCCTCTTATGTTTGTCCTTTACCCTAAAAATGTTGTGCTGTAGCGAACACTACGGCCACTACAATGCGGAGCTGAAGTATTTGAGTACACGTTCTTGCTTATTTCGTAAGGATGAATTCCTTGGAGTGGGCTTACTGTGCCAAGGCGTGTATGATTGAAAGCTTTGAAATATATTGTCAAAGGCCTTCTAGAGACTGTACCCAATAAGCCAGCTTTTTTTAATCAAAATGTATAAATATTTCTGTGACTGCATAGTGAAAGCTCGTAAGCTAAAGTATATTTTATATATTAAGTGGTCTTGCGCATCAATATGAAAACACTAATTCCTAACTTAAAAACAGGCAACGGACATGGACAGAGATCAAAAAAGAAAAAGTGCAAACTGTTAATTAATATATAAAAGCATGTTCAACCTCATTAGAAATCAAATAATGCAAATTAAAATAGTAAAATGTCTTACCCCTCAGATTTCCAAAAGATATTTTTAATGGTGCTCATTTTTATGAGGGTGTAGTGGGATGAATAATCACATACTTAAGAGAATACAAATTGCTCTGCCACTTGGAAAGCAATTTGAAAGAGTTCAAATAATTTAACCCAGTAAGTGCATTCTAGAACTTGAGCCTAAGGAAATAATGATAGTTTAAGTACAAGAAACCTTATTCCTGCCTTGGTTATAATAGTGAAAAATTGAAAATGATCTAAATATCTAAAAATAAAGGAGAGAATTATTAGATAGATTATTGGTGTTAGCTCTTAGCTGGTAGGAATGTAGGTGAATTTTTTCTGTCCTTTTTTTCTATAGTAAGTGTATATTATTTTTCTTATATTTATGTAAGTGAACTATATTTATAGTTATATTTATTTTTCTTATATTTTCAAAAGCATAAAAACTTTAAAATTTTTTCAATAAATGGTCTGCATATCCATTTGAAAGAAGATCCCTATCTCATACTATATGAATATAAATCCAAAATATATTGAAGATATAAATATAAAATAAGTAAATAAAGATTATTTTTTAAATCTTTGAGTAGAAAGCCTTTGTCAAACGTGTCTTGGAAAGATGGCCGTGTTATTTTTGAATGAAAAGGAAAAACATAAGTAAAAATAAGTAGCACAATGTTTTTGTTTGCTTAAGTACTTAAAAATGCTCATGTACACGTGTATGTTTGTATAATCATAATAAAAAGACCAAAAAGATACCAAAATTATTTGCGTGATGGATAGGACTAGAGATGTAGAAAGTACTTACCCAAAAGGAATCGTGTCTAGACATTAAACCATCATCTTTTTATTATTCTTATTACTATTCCCGCTCTGAGATTTGCATGGGCAGGGTTTTAACTGTCACGTCTGTTTTGGTGAAAATTCCTCACATGAAGCTTCCCATTGGTCCCCAATATCCATCATTAGTACCTAAAATCAAACTCATCTTTTTTACCTCTAAAGCAGCTCTTCCCAGAACGTTTTTCTTTTTCTTTGTTAGATAAAATTATATTATTCTCTTTGTCATTTAGTTTAAAAAGCTTAGGATTGTCCTTTTTCTTTGTAAGTGCCAGCTTGATCCTTCTTCTGCAGGGGGTAAAGAAAAACCACCAAACGTCTATACCTATCCAAATTCTAGTGTTTCTCTTACGTTGTCTTGTTTTTTGCTCTCTCCCTTTTTGCCATCACAACAGCCTAATTCAAGATTCATCTTTTGGGTATGAGCCTTCCCATTCTTTATACACCCTCTGCCAGATTCTTCCCTTTTAAAGCCTTGTTTTATATACTTCACTCTTACTATCCTAAAAAACAACAGAATTTTAATGGCTGCATATTTCCCACAGGATAAAAATCACCCCTTCAGTGAAATAACCTAAATGTCAGTAGGAATCTGTTTAAGTAAATTATGGCACATTTAATACAGTGGAAGAACAGACAGCCTGTTCAAAACAAAATTCAATTCTACACGTGAAGTGGAAAAATCTCCGAGATACGTTGTTCAGTAGAGTCAAGATATGTTAAGTGACAAAGACAGTTTTGTGTGTGAATGATCCAGTGGGTGCACAGGTAACTGGTCGCAGCGATTGCCTAGAGGCAGTGAGGAAAGGGAGACTCACTTTTCTGTTCTTTATAGTTCTTGAATTTAGTGCCGGGGCGTGTATTACCTGTTAAAATTATTAGGATAATTTTTGTAGTAGACATTTATAAATAGCACAGTTTTGCACATTGCTTTATAGGTTATTTTCTCTTCCAGTGTATAGAGAGTAGTTTGAAATTAACTAAAGACAGTTGCTCTAACAGAATAGTATTAAAATGGGCATTTAATCTGCAGGTTCCTGGGCTGTATAAATCCAGTTCTGTGGACAATCTTTCTACTACCAAGATCAAACCTCTTGTGCGCGCCAGAGTCAGTGGGCTGAGCAAGAAACCAGCAAGCGTCCAGAAGAGAAATCATCATGATGTGGAGAACAAGCCAGGGTTGCAGATAAAAATCAATGAGCTCTGGAAAAATTTTGGATTTAAAAAGTGAGTTACCTTGTCGCTTATTCTAAAATAGGATAAATTATTTTTTTCTGTAATTTCAATCCCTTTCTCCCACCTCTTTCTATTTTCATATGAATCAACTTATTTTCTTCTTACCCTGAGAGAATTATTTTCCTCTATTCCCTTTAGCTGATTCTTTGTGAGTATATTTAACTTCAATTTCTCTACTTTTTTTTGGTGGAAAGATGACAAACTAAAAAAACCTCAGTTCTCAGTCTGGCTTTGGGCTCTCTCTGTTATTAAGCAAATTACTTTTCCAGGCCTTGTAAGTGTCTCTGCTTTCTTTCTTTCTTCTCTCTCTGATTATAATGAGAATAAAGTTGTTTTGGACATGGGGGTGGGAATGTAATGCCGTGTCATTCTTCTGGATTTAAAGCAATTTGTTTCCCTAAATTATCACATCTAAAATGCGGAGGATCATTGAGTTTGTATGGTGAATTTGCCAGATTTCCAATGTATGCAGCAAAGACAATTTTAAAAGAATTGACTCTCTATATGTCTACATTTTTGAACCACAGTACTTCTTTTAGACTATATAATTAGCCACAGAGTAGCATCAATTTATAATTAATTTTCTTGTTCTTCTCCATAAAGCAAGTGTGCTAAGAATAAAAAGAAAGAAGAAAGAAAGAGCAGTTATGTGAGGTGATAGGGTTAAACCTTACTAACATAAGTGTCACAATCAGACGAGATACTATGAGTGTGAACACTTTGTAAAGAAGTAAGTGCTGGACAATTATTTTTTATTTTACATCGTGTAAAGTCTAGGATTAGACCACGTAACAGCAGTTCTCAAACTTTTTGCCTTCAGGAACGCTTTACACTCTTAAAAATTATTGAGGGCTCAAAAATACTTTGGTTTATGTGGGGTGTATCTGTCACATTTAGCCATCTTAGAAATTAAAATGAACATTTTAAAAATATTTATTTTTAAATAACAGTAAGCCTATTACATATTAAAATTGATATATTTTTACAAAAAATAGCTATGTTTTCCAAAGTAAAAAGTGACGTTTTCTACATTTTTTGCTAATCTTTACTGTCTGGTTTAATAGAACTGAGCCGGATTCTTCTATCTGCTTCTGTGTTTGGTTGTTATATGTTGCTTGGTTGAAGTACATGAAGAAAATCTGGCCCCACACATATTTGTAGTTGGAAAATGTATATTTTAATAGCCTTTATACTTAATTATAAATTTTCCTCTTTGATACTACACCAAAATTCAACAAGTGGTGGTCTCATTAAAGGTTAATTGCAATGTAGAATGTGAAGCTGTGTCGATTGGCTGTTCATACCCTGTTACACTGCAGTCCGTGGTCCATCCTGCACCAGGAGTGCATCTTTTCTCGTACATGATTTTATAACCTTGTGCATTGGTCTTTTGGAAAATACTAGTTTATTGACTTGTGCTTATCATCCACATGTTGACACATTTCATTTTACAACATAAAAAAACTACAGTCTTATCAACAAAGCCTTTAAGTATTGGAAAGCTGTCAAGTGGCAGATAGAAGTTTTTGAAAATTCTATTTTCACTTGAAAGCCTGAATTGTGTCATTGGCAACAAATGCTGCTAGTTTGTTTTCTTTGAGGTAACCAACAGGCTCTCTGTTCATTTTAGAGAAGCTGTTTGCCAAATACCTAAATTTGATAACCATAGCATCACAGTGCTTTCACTTCAGGTAACCATCATCCTAAAGGGTGCAACCGAAGTGCCCATGTGTGTTTTCCATTTTGTCACACAATATTAAGAAATTGAGAGGGTTGAGAGTTAATAAAATTAATGATTTTTACTGCTTCATCAAGAATGTTCTTAAGTGAGATGGACTTCTTCTTAAAAATTTTTTTGTGAGGAAGATTGTCGCTGAGCTAACATATATGCCAGTCTTCCTCCTATTTTATGTGGGATGCCTCCACAGCATGGCTTGATGAGCAGTGCTAGGTCCATTCCTGGCGTCTGAACCTGCGAACCCCAGGCTGCCTAAGCGGAGCATGTGAACTTAACTGCTACACCACTGGGTCGGCCCCAACTTTTTTTTTTTAAGTGCAAGTATGTGGAGCTGGGGAATACATGTACTGCTAGTGTTTCTTGTACAGTCTGGTGCTGCTGTCTTGATTTGTGCTAAGTTGCCAGCAGCTTCACTCAGTTCTGTTTTGAATCATCAGTACAAACATCAGCCCAGTGGAAAAGGCAGATAAAGTCTAAATATTACTGTGAAAGTAGTTTTGCTCTTGCAAACCCCCTTTCAAGGGCCTTGGAAACTTTTAGGGGCCCAGGGACCATACTTTGAGAACTGCTACTAGAGGGAAATTAAGGGCACAACAGGGGCTGGATGCAATCTTCCTCAAAAAGAAGGATGCAACGGTATTCTTCAATGCCTTTTAGAAAAAAAGATTTACGGGTGTTGAAGTTTTGTTGATAGGAGATAGAATTACCTGTGTTAGCTTCATAATCAGATGAATTTTTATAGACTTAGAGCTCCCTTCCAGCAAAAAAAAAAGAGGGAGAGAAGGAGGAGTGAAAGACAGGGCTTAAACGTTTGCTCATGCTTCACTGATGTTGGTTCTTAGCTAGACTTGAGAAGAGCGCTAAGGAGAAAAGAACTAAAGTTTCCTTATTGGAATCATGCTGCCTTAGCTAATGTATATTTAGCAGTGGCCTAGCACCTCCTTTGAAAGGTGATTTAGAAGGCAGGAAGGAGAACTAGGAAGCAAAACTCACATTTTATTCTCAGAGGAGAACCTGAATGCGTCATAGAATGAAGTGAAACAGATTCTGCAGTAAAGGCTCTTATCCTCCTCATGTACCTGTATTTTGTCCAGGTAGATTATACTCTAATAATCACTACCCTAAAAACACCAAATTCATTTTAATATATTATATTTTGCAGAGATTCTGAAAAGCTTCCTTCCTGTAAGAAGCCCCTGTCTCCAGTCAAAGATAACATCCAACTGACTCCGGAAGCAGAAGACGATATATATAACAAATCTGAATGTACGCGTGTACAGAGAGCAATATTCCAATAAACTCAGGCAGCTGGGAGGCGGCTTCCCTCAGGAGAAGCTCTATCAATTTGAAGTCCTGTTTGGGAATGAGGCATTTACCAGTCTAAAAGATTTGTTCTTAGATCTATACCATTTTTTTTAAGTAGAGTCCATTTTGTATATTAACTGTAATTGTTTATTTTGTTCAGCTTTTTATATTTTCATAAGAAGCTAACTAGAGAAGTAATCTTATCTTTGACAGTTCTTGGGAGTTTTAATGTTAATTGGGCAAGTCTCCTAGAATTTATAAAATCTACTCTAAGGATTTCTATAATGTTGTCAAGAGTGGTAAATGAAAACCACAATTAATGTAATCATTTTATCCTAAGGAAATTAATGTATTTCTCCAAGCTTTAAATTTTTCCACCTGCCTTTCCTGTCAATCTTTCAGGGTTGAATTGAAAATAAAGCTGCTGGGATAGGAGGGGTGGTGGGAAGGGATAAAGGTCATTGCACAAGTGGAACAGGGCCCTGTTATCCCTGAAGCGTTTGCTTGGGTTACAGACTGACAGTGAAGGAAAGTTTCTTTCAGCCTCACATAAAAGGAACTACTTACGTCATTAATAGTCTCAAACTTCAAGATAGCCTCGGTTTTTCTTAATGTCTTTTTTGATGTATGGGCTAAAAATCCTTGACATATGTTTAAAGCTAGTGTCCTGGGTACACTGTAAGATACTGACGCTGCAGGATCTGTGATGTGTACACTCTGCAGAGAAACAGGCAGAGACCTGGAAAGGGAAGCAGGTAGACAAGTGAGATCTGACAGGAAGTGAAGGAGTTATAGAAAGGTGTCTGGGATGCAGACGATAAAGGAAAGGGACCCGGAGTATGGTAATTTTTATGTGAGATTTTGTAGAGGATTCTTGGATAAAGAGGTCAGAATGGAACAAAAAACATAAAGCTGTAAGAAACAGCATAAAAATTTGAAAAGAAAAATTAAAGCCAGTCTAGAAAAGACCAAATCCAAAGAAGAAAAGCAAATTTGACTTCTCCGTGAATGTTGTCTGCAAATGTCTATCTCCCCACCCGTTTCAAATGCCAGAAATGACAGAAAAGCAGTAAAACATACTGTAAATCCACAAAGGTTAGCAAGAAGAAGAGACATCAGGGAAGGCAACAGATGGGTAAGTGGTAAGTGATTTAGCAAAGAAATGACCATTCATTTCTCCAGGGACAGAATCCAACAAGAGCCAAAAGTTTAGATGGGTTCCATAAATGGAGGCATCACGCAAGTTCCCCTGAAGCCAAGGGTTCCTGCAAAGCTGAAGCTGAAAATGGGATTGGATGAAAAACTTTTGAAAACAGCAGGAGAAAGTAAAAGGGAAGATGGCAGTAGTGCCAAGTGTTTCAGTCTCCAAATCCCACGTAACAGCAACTGGATAGCAGAATCAAAAACCTATGGATGACACTGCAACAAATTTAGGTGACATGGTGTCCTTACATCCTAAGTTATAAGTGGGTGAGGACAAGCCACCAACAGCCACAGGACCACAGGACGGTATTGGCCTCCATCCAGGAGAAGCAGAGGAAGGCAGCAGGGCATCGAGGACCTAAGAACAGAACTTGCAGGAACCAATGCAATATAGCAGGCCAAACTGGAAACGGCATTTGAAACCGGGAGGGGCTCGGCCCTTCCAATAGTGAGTGAGTGCAGGGGCCCCGGAGTAATGTCTGAAGGCTGAAGCGTCTAGTCCGTGTGAACTCTCGAAGCTGATGGGCCCACTTTCCCAGGCTCCCTTCCAGGACTGCTTTTACTTTGGGAGTAAAATCAAAACTGAGCAGGAGACAAAGGAAGAGAAGGTTAAAATGCAACTGGAAGAAGGAACAGTTGACCAGGAAATCTCAGCAGAATGTCCTATTTTTGAACACAAAATAAAGCTCTGAAGTTCAAGAATCTCTATGAACCATGCTTCCTTCTCAATGTTTAGGAAAACTAATTTTACTTTAAAAGAAACCACAGAAAAGTTTTTAGATCAATTGTTACGAAGTTATTTTAATTTTTTACAAAAAGCAGAATAAAGTCTGTACAGATGATAAAAATCTACCATGGCCCAAAGAGAAGATCAAAACTAGTCTATTTGAAATTGTGTTAAAAGATTTTAAGAAAATGATACAAGCTATACGGGATATTTAGAATAAGGAACAGAAGCAAACACTGCAATTAATGCCCTAAAAGAAATAGAAGGTAAAACAAAATGGAAAAAAGACTTCCAAAGATTAGAAAGTGACAAATATTGAAGATAGGGACAGAAGGTCCAATATACAGATAATAGGAGTCTTTGAAGGAAAAATAAAACACTAATTCCAGAAAACTCCTAATATAAAAAACCATTTGAAATAATATTTTTATTTTTTTATTGAGGTAACTGGTTTATAACATTGTATAAATTTCAGGTGTACATCACTATATTTCAACTTCTGTATAGACTGCATCATGTTCACCACCAAAAGTCTACTTTCCATCCATCACGTAGACATGTGCTCCTTTAGCCCTTTCACTCTCTCTCACCCCCTTGCCCTCTGGCAACCACCAGTCTGTCCTCCATATCTGTGTGTGTTTATCTTCCACATATAAGTGAAATCATACAGTATTTGGCTTTGTCTGACTTCACTTAGCATAATACCCTCAGGGTCCATCTATGTTGTTGCGAATGGCAAGATTTCATTTTTTTATGGCTGAGTAGTATTCCATTGTATATATACACCATATCATTATCTGTTCATCCATCGACAGGCACTTAGGTGGCTTCCAACTCTTGGCTATTGTGAATAATGCTGCAGTGAACATAGTGGGGCATATATCTTTTTTAACTAGTGTTTTCATGTTCTTTGGATAAATACCCAGAAGTAGGATAGCTGAATTATATGGTATTTCTGTTTTTAATTTTTTGAGGAATCCCCATACTGTTTTCCGTAGTTGTGCCAATTTATATCCCCACCAGCAGTGTAGGGGGGGGGGGGTCTCTTTTCTCCACATTCTCTCCAATACTTGTTTCTTCCTCTTCTTCTTCTCCTTTTTTTTTTTTTTTTTTTTTGGAGGAAGATTAGCCCTGAGATAACATCTGCCAATCGTCCTCTTTTTGCTGAGGAAGACTGGCCCTGAGCTAACATCTGTGCCCATCTTCTTCCACTTTATATGTGGGACAGCTACCACAGCATGGCTCGACAAGTGGTGCCATGTCCACACCCAGCATCCAAACCAGGAACCCCAGGCCGTAGAAGTGGAACATGTGCACTTAACCGCTGCATCACTGGGCTGGCCCTCTTATCTTTTTAATAACAGCCATTCTGATAGTCATGTGATGATATTGTCGTTTTGATTTGCATTTCCCTAATAATTAAGAGACGTTGAACGTCTTTTCATGTGCCTGTTGGCCATCTTTATATCTTTGGAAAAGTGCCTGTTTTTATCCTCTGCCCATTTTTTGATCAGGTTGCTGGGGTTTTTTCTTCAGTTCTAGGACTTTGTATATCTTGGATGTTAACCTCTTATCAGGTATGTGGTTTGCAAGTGTTTTCTCCCATTTGGTAGACTGTCTTCATTTTGTTGATGGTTTCCTTTGCTATGTAGAAGCTTTTTACTTTGATGTAGTTCCATTTGTTTTTTTTGTTGTTGTTTCCCTTGCCTAAGGGAACATATTCAAAAAGATACTGCTAAGACTGATGTCAAAGAGCATAGAGGCTATGTTTTCTTCTAGGCATCTTATGGTTTGAGGTCTGTAATCCATTTGAGTTAGTTTTTGTGTATGGTGTAAGATAATGGATTTCTTTCATTCTTTTGCATGTGGCTGTCTAGTTTTCTTTTCTTTTCTTTTCTTTTTTTTTTTTTTGAGGAAAATTAGCTCTGAGCTAACTGCTGCCAATCCTTCTCTTTTTGCTGAGGAAGACTGGCCCTGAGCTAACACCCGTGCCCATCCTCCTCCACTTTATACGTGGGACACCTACCATAGCATGGCTTTTGCCAAGCAGTGCCATGTCCGCACCCAGGATCTGAACCGGTGAACCCTGGGCCACTAAAGTGGAATGTGCGAACTTAACCACTGGGCCACCAGGCCAGCCCTGTCCAGTTTTCCCAACACCATTTATTGAAGAGACTTTCCTTTCTCCATTGCACGTTCTTGACTTCTTTGTCAAAGATTAGCTTTCCATAGATGTGTGGCTTTATTTCTGAGCTCTCGATTCTGCTCCATTGGTCTGTGTGTCTGCTTTTGTGCCAGTACAGTGCTGTTTTGATTACTATAGCTTTGTGGTATATATTGAAGTTGGGGATTGTGTACCTCAGCTTTGTTCTTTTTTCTCAAGATTGCTTTGGCTAGTCAGGGTCTTTTGTTGTTCCATATAAATTTTAGGGTTCTTTGTTCTATTTCTGTGAATAATGTTGAGATTCTGATTTGGGTTGTGTTGAATCTGTAGATCATTGTAGGTAATAATATGAACATTTTAACTATGTTGATTCTTCCAATCCATGAGCATAGAATATCTTTCCATTTCTTCATATCTTTGATTTCTTTGAACAGTGTCTTATAGTTTTCAGTGTACAAATCTTTCACATCCTTGGTTAAATTTATTTCTAGCTGTTTATTCTTTTTTTGTTGTGATTGTAAATGGGGTTGTATTCTTGATTTGTCTTTCTGTTAGTTCGTTGTTAGGGTATAGAAACACAGTTGATTTTTGTATGTTGATTTTGTACCATGCAACTTTACCATATTCATTAGTTATTTCTAATTGTTTTTTGATGGATTCTTTAAGGTGTTCTATATATAAAATCGTGTCATCTGCAAAGAGTGACAGTTTTATTTACTTTCCAATTTAGATACCTCTTATTTCTTTCTTTTTTTTCTTTTTTGGCCTTATTGCTCTGACTGGGACTTCCAATACTATGTTGAATAAGAGTGGTGAGAGTAGGCACCATTGTCCTGTTCCTGTTCTTGGAGCAATAGCTTTCATTTTTTTCCCATTGAGTATAATGTTGACTGTGGGTTTGTTGCCTTTATTATGTTGAGGTACTTTCCTTCTATGCCCATATTACTGAGATTTTTTACCATAAAGGGATATTGAATCTTGTCAAATGCTTTCCATGCGTCTGTTGAGATGGTCATGTGATTTTTATTCTTCATTTTGTAAATGTCGTGTATCACGTTGATTGATTTGTGGATGTTGAACCATCCCTGCATCCCTGGAATAAATCCCACTTGGTCATGGTGTATGATCCATTTAATGTATTGTTGTATTCAATTTGCTAATATTTTGTTGAGGATTTTTACATCTGTGTTCATCGGTGATATTGACCTGTAATATTTCTTTTTGTGTTGTCCTTGTCTGATTTTGATATCAGGGTAGTGTTGGCCTTGTAAAATGACTTGGGAAGCATCCTGTCATCTTCAGTTTTTTGGAAGACTTCAAGAAGGATAGATATTAAATCTGCTGTGAATGTTTGGTAGAATTCACCAGAGAAGCAATCTGGTCCTGGACTTTTGTTTTGGAGGAGGTTTTTGATCACTATTTCAACCCCTTTACTAGTGATTGATCTATTCAGATTCCCTATTTCTTCTTGATTCAGTTTTGGGAAGTTGTATGATT